CGCCCTCTGCGCGTGACTGATTTCTGGGGACCGGCTCTCCCTCCTGAGCCGCTCGATGACGGGCCAGTGGCCTGGGGAGAGCCAGGGCCTGCCGAGATCGGCGAAACACCTGAGCCCCCCCCCTTTTCCTCCCCCTCCTGACCACGTCACTGCACGTCGACCGGTGGCGTCGGAGGCGCTGCGGCTAGTGCGTTGACGTCGCCGACCCAGTCGCGCCCTTGAGCTTGCCCCACTGGAACTGCACCGCCCACGCCTCTCCACCGTGGTGGTGTCGGTTGTGGTGGTGCTGCTGACAGCGGGGGCTGCGGAAGCTGTAGGCGCGGCTGGTGCTGCGCCCCCCCAGCCCTCCCGCACAGGCTGGCAGCACGGTTGCGGGGCCAGCAAGTGGAGCAGAGTCCCGCTGCGGGGCTGCCCTGGGAGCTCCCTCCCGGCCTGTCCCGGGGCAAACTCTCACAAACTGCTGCGCGTGGCGGACTCCCCCCGCCGCCGGCGTGGACGCGCCTCGAGGATCGCGAGGGCAGGGGCGCCGCCCGAGAGAGGCCCGCGGGCAGCGGCGTCGGCGCCGCGCTGCCGCCCCAGTGCGCGCCGCCCTCTCGGAGAGCCTCGCCCACCACGGGAGGGCAAGGCTGCTCGCCCAGCACAGAGGGGCAACGATAGGGTTAGGTCGGGCATGTCCTCCTACAGGCGGATTCTGACAGAAGAATAAACATTTATCACACAGACTCAAACATAGTCAAAACACAAAAAAGTCACCATTGTATTTTTTTGCTGTTCTTGAGTGCTCCTCCTGTGGAGGGACATGCACTACTTAATAATAGGGGGGGGACTGGCATAGGGGGCATGCATCGACATGGAGTCGGCGATACATCGTCGATAGATCGACGAGGGGTCCCCACTGGCGAAACCGCACCTCCCTGGGCGGAGTGGAGCTGTCGGGCCCCTATCGGCGATCCATGGGCGATGGGGGGTCGATGCGCCCCCCTTATGCCTCTCCCCCCTGCCGTTGCCCCCGAAACCGACGCCGGGTTTGGGCGACAGAGCCGACCGCAGCGGCACCGCGCCGCGCGTGCGAGCGGCTCCGTGCGGGAGGGTGCCCCTGCCAGGCGGTGCAAAGATGGGGCCGTGAAGGATGGGGACCCAAGGACAGAAAGGGATCCAAGGGTAAATCTACATTGTTTGAGGCACCTCGAAGCTAGGACGAGGACAAATTCGGAATATGGAACGATCGGCCGTTTCCGAAACGACAGACCGCTCAACACCAACCGATTCTGGAGCGCCCACGGCGTTCAACCTTGAACGCAGCGGCAGGGTCGCCGCCTGTCGACACGACGCGAACCTACCGTACTCGAGCTCGTATAAGGGCGAGCGCGAAAATCTTCTACGCACGGCCGTTCGACCGCGAAGTTGGGCGACGCCCTCGCGCAAAGATCGGGCGAGATGAATAACCTGGCGCCGCCAGGCTGGCTTAGACTGGAATCCACCAGGGGCCCAGCCTGGCAAGGGCACCGCCCAACAATTGCTCAAGCAACGAGGGTGGAAGAGGGTGGGTTTCGAGCCCGACCCACTCGCCTGCCCTGCAGCGCGCACCCTGGGAAGCAGCTGCAGTGCCAGGATTGCGCGGCACAGCTCCTGCGACGCCACCCTTCGGAGCCAATCGAGCATCCGCGGCGACCAGCCATCCAACCAACCAGCCAGACTGCAGCATGGCAGCGGAGCACAGGGCACCCCGCACGCCAATCCATCAATCAATCGACCATCCAGCGGGGAGGAAGGAGGAACCGCCTGCTGCCCTGCAGCCCACGACGAGAAGGAGGAGGAGGACGAGGAGGAGGAGGAGGAGGAGGAAGAAGAGGAGGAGGAGAAGGAGAGCGAGGAGGATGGGGAGGAAATGGAGGGCCATGAGAACCACCTGCTGCAATGCAGCGCACGGCCGTGAGAACCCACCTGCCGCACTGCAGCGCACGGCCGCGAAGCTCCCGCCGCGCCACAGGCGCCCAGGCTGTGAGAGGCCAGGAAGCCAGTGGGCAAAGCAGCCGAGAAGCACACAAAGGCCTTCCTGAAGATTTTCCTGCCCCCAAAAATCGCTGCGCGATGTGGGGGCTGTAAAAGAATGCCAGGAGGGCGACTGCGAGAGGAGCAAACAAGTCAAGTGCGGCAACAGTGCTGAAAAGAACGCGGAGCAGGCGAGAGAAGCTGGATCAGTAGAGCAACGATCCAGAGTAAGCACAGTGTCCGTGCCACTCCTCCTCCTCCTCCTCCTCCTCCTCCTCCTCCTCCTCCTCCTCCTTCTCCTCCACAGCCACCTTCGAGCTTCAAGCTGGTGGTATGTGATCCCCCCCCGGCGGACATCGCCGCTGAGGGGGTTGAAAAAGGACCACAAGAAGAAGTAGCCCCGCCCCCTGGGCAACGTCTGCGCTCGACAAGCGAGGCCAGGCCACAGGCTTATTCCGCTCCAGGGGGGTCCTCCTCCTCCTCCTCCTCCTCTCCTCCTCCTCCTCCTCCTCCTCCTCCTCCTCCTCCTCCTCCTCCTCCTCTCCCTCCTTCTCCTCGAGGATCGAGGCCGGTGCACTGTATGGACAATGTTAAAGCCTCCAGACGCCTCCTGGGAACTCCGGGAGCCTCGGGGGAGCCTCGGGAGAGCTCCTCCGGAGAGATCCAGAGACCCGTGGGAGACAAGGGGCGGCAGCCACTGTACGCTGAAGCTGAAGTCGGTGAAGCTGTCCGGTGCAGGCTGGGCGAGGCGAAGGCCTCACAGCGGGCGGTGCCGCCGATGCACGCCGACGGCAGTTCGCAGGGGGGCGGTGCGGCCGAGGGCCAAGCAGGGACACTGGTGCGACGGCGGCTGCAGGCTGGGGGCGCCGCCAGCTGTCCGTGGAACCTGGCAGGACTGGGCCACGGGTTCCTGGCAGGAGTGCTGCGAGGCGGGGCACGGGAGAGAGAGAGAGAGAGGGCAGCCAGGAACCACGGGTGCAGTCGAGGCTGCCTGGGAGGGCCGCGCGAAGAGGACACGAGACTCGTTCGGTGCCCACCATTTCCCCAGGCATGAAGAGCACACGGGTCGCGAACCACAGGATACCATAAGGTTCCCTGGATCTGGAAGGGTCGACCTACGGATCAAACTCGACCGTGGCCGAGGGCGTGTGGAGGCGCGTGCGAGAGGGCAGCCGAAGACCCGCAGGCCAAGGAGGGGGGGGTCCGAGGCAACAGCGGCGGGGGCACACGGCGGCACTGCCAGGGCGGTGCAGGGAGCACCGTTGCCGTGCCAGCACAGCGCAGGATTGCGAGAGATCCCCGCACGATCTGCTGCAAGAGTGCACGTGCACATGCATGCATGGTTTGCGCTTTCGTAGCCGCCGAGGCTCGAATCTAGAAGCCACTCTTCGACATGAACCAGAGCCAGGGATTAAACAGTTGTGCATCCACAACTTGAGAGCTCTTCGGCTTCATCGTGCATTATTGGGCACGTGAGGTGATGGTGGCGTCGTTGGAGTTCACACTGAGAGCCGCTGCTTCTGATCTCCAGTCGTCGCACTGCGCCGACGGCGCTCGCTCTGGCAGCACGGTCTGCTTCGTGACGCTCAGAATGGGAGCGCCAGGGGACGCCTGCGGTAGCCCTCATCCGCAAGCCATGCGCGGCAAAGCGCGCGTAGGCCAAATAGGGAATATTATGCAGGAGAACGTAAGGATTGAGAGCGGCAATGATCTGAACCACAATGGCTACGGAGGAAGAAGAGGCGGAACGGAAGGAAGAACGCAAGAAAGAGCAGCAGGGGTGACAGGAAGGAGGAACAGGATACTGCAAGTTCGAAAGCTTCCCTCGAGACGACCCTGCTAAGGGGACACAAAATTGAGGGTGCCAAGAGGAGTCCGCCAAATCAGACCACGCACGTCTCCGTGTCTACAGCTAGTTAACCCGTCATTCCTCTGGCTGCTTCTCTCAATGTTCTACTCCTCGTCTTCCGCATCCTTCCCTCTCACCCTCCTCTCCCAAACAAGGAGAGAGAGAGAGAGAGAGAGCGCAGAAACGGCAGGACTACGACACACGCATCCAACTTCACCGCATACGCCCCCATCTGCCTCCCACTGTTCCTCCTCCTTCTCCTGATAAGGACCGAAGCCATCAACATTCCTCCCTCGGTTTCCTCCGCCTCCTCCCTCCCTCCCTCCATCCATCCTGCTCCTCCCTCCTCCTCCTCGTCCTCCTCCGCTCCTCTGAGGAGGAGGGGGAGGAGAAAGAAAGGAAGAGAAGGTGGGATGAAGAGAGGAGGGGGATGAAGAGAGGAGGGGGAGGAGGAGGAGGAGGAGGAGGAGGAGGAGGAGGAGGAGGAGGAGGAGGAGGAGGAGGAGGAGGAGGGGGAGGAGGAGGAGGAGGAGGAGGAGGAAGAGGAAGAGGAGGAGGAGGAGGACAAATGAGGCGGGGCCAAGGATCGGAATGAGGGAAGAGAAGGGGAGGTGAGGGGGTGGAGGGTGCAGGGCTGAGAAAGGAGGCGGCGGCGAAAGGCGCCTTGGACGCATGGCCGTGGTCATGTGAGAGAGGACGGGGGAGGAAGTAGAGGGGAGCAGCCAGAGGCGAGGGAAGGCTGGTGTCGTCATCCTGCTCTTGTCCCCCCCTCGTCATCCTCCTCCTCCGCTTCGGCCTCCTCCTCCTCCTCCCCCCCCTCCTCCCCCTCCTCCTCCCCCTCCTCCTCCACCAATTCCTCCCCCCCCTCTTCCTCCTCCCCTCCTCTCCTCCTCTCATCATATCCTCCTCCTCCTCGTCCTTCCCTCCTCACTGTCCGCGCCCCGCTCGTCCTGGTCCTTCTGCTCCTCCTCCTCCTCCCTCCTCCGCCTCCTCCCTCCTCCGCCTCCTCCGCCTCCCCCTCCCCTCCTCCTCCTCCTCCTCCTCCTCCTCCTCCTCCTCCTCCTATTCCTCCTTCTCCTCCTTCTCATGCAACCCTTTCCTCTTCGAGCTCCTCACCCAACCCTCTGCACCACCTGCTCGCCCTCCGATTCGCCCTCCTCTCCCCCTCCACGCTCGCGAGACTACTGCGCAGCGCCCGGGCACGGCTCGCGGCCCCCGGAACTGCCTGCATGGAGGAGGGGGCACCGGCGAAAGCGAGCGCGCGCGGGCGGGCCGAAGTCCTCCTCCTCCTCCTCCTCCTCCTCCTCCTCCTCCTCCTCCTCCTCTCCCATCCCTCTTTCGTACAAACAGATCCTCCCTGTCGCACCCCCTGGACGTGTCGGCAGGGCGGGCCGGGCGTTTCGCGGGAGATTGCCTCGCCGCGTGCTTCTGGAGCTGGAAGTTTGCAGCAGCTTCACGGCTGGAGAGGACGGGTGGTTTTCAAAAAGTGGCCCTCGCCCTACAGTCGAGGCGTTGACCTAAGGAACCCTAAATAAGGAACGGGGCCCCATTTTTCCATAACTCAAACTCTGACTTCCCATGGAAAACCCAAGGAAAACCTCAGGCAAGCTGCAAAACAATGAAGGAACACGGAGCCCCTCCCCAACGAGAAGGGTTCCTTCTTCAGCGCCCCGACTGTAGCGCCGCGCACATTCGTCCTGAACGTTAGCAGCCTTTTCACGAAAGGAGGGCGGCCCCTTTTTAAAAGTGTGGCTCTCGCCTCAGCGCCGCGCACACTCGCCTTTAGGGTTCGCAGCGCTGTCAAACATGGAGGGCGAAGCCTGTTCAAAATGCTGCTCTCGCCTGAGCGCCGCGCACATGATTTAAAAGTTTGCAACTGTACCAGGGATTCGCACTGGCATGGCCGAAGTCCCAGGTCCTGTGTTCTGGCATGATCTAGGATTGACAGGACGCCAGTCACGTTGATTCGCGTCGTTGGCATCCCAGGACTGGTGTTCTGGTACCTGGCACGTCTTGCGTAGGATTGTCAAGATGCACCAGTCACAGTGATCCACGGCGTTGACGTCCCAAGAACGGTATCGTGGCACTAGTGGGGATTCTCAGACAATTTTCCTCTAATGGGCCACAGCCCGCAATCAAACAAATTTCTTGTAGGGACACATGAAGAGCGAACTTGGAGGAAGGCTCGCTGCAACATCCTTGATGCGTCTTGGATTTACACTGATCCCCCTCCCCCTCCTCCTCCTCCTCCTCCTCCTCCTCCTCCTCCTCCTCCTCCTCCTCCTCCTCCTTTCAGCACAGCCGACACGTGCACGGACTGAACGGGAACGAATACCGACAACAGCGCCTGCTGACAACAAGCAATGTTCCGAGCCATGGGGGCTGCTAGAAGGAAGTACCGACCGCGTTTTCTTTGGAAGCTCGCCGAGTTCAACCAGATGTTGCGAGCGGGCAAACTGCAGAAGCGGCGCCGGGACCCATTGGCGGCGCTTCGGCGCCGCCCCTGGCGCTGTTCGGGTTCTCCTCTTCGAGCCTCCGACGTCTCAAGACGACCCTAGAGGCCAGCAAAACTGCACCAACACGACGCCCAAAAAAGGGCTTTAGAGGGTGACCACGAACCGGCAGGCAATTCGAGCGTTCCGCCCAAAGAGGGCTAAAGAGGCCCCAAGAAGGCCAAACGAGGCCCTCAAGAGGCCCCTAGATGGACCAGAGAAGAAAACATATCAACTGTCCTTGGCTATTCTAGTGTGTGTTGGGGTTCTCGCCTTTCCTAGCTTCCGACGCTCCAAGACGGCCCAAGAGGTCCCCAAGACTCCCCCGAGTCGGCTCAAGAGGCCCCCGAGAAAGCTCCAAGACGACCCAACAGGAATCCAAGACAGCCCAAGAAGCGCCCACGACTGCCAAAAACGGCCCAAAGACGGTCCCACAAAGTGCCCCAGAGTCGGAGCATGAACCCCGAATTCGAACCTTCTGCCCCATGAGGATCTCAGCCGGCCCCCTTGCCTTCTCGAGTGGCTGCCGCCCAACATGCTGCGCTGGCACCGTTGCGGAGTTTCTGGAGCTGCGTTGTGAAAGAATATGAAGCAGGAGCCGCTGTTGTTGTTGTTGTTGCTGCTGTTGTTGTTGTTGTTGCTGCTGCTGCTGCTGTTGTTGTTGTTGTTGTTGTTGTTGTTGTTGTTGTTGTTGTTGTTGTTGTTGTTGTTGTTGTTGTTGTTGTTGTTGTTGTTGTTGTTGTTGTTGTTACGGTTGCTGCTATTGATGTTGTTGTGGAACGTTCACGGCTAAAAAAAAAATGTTGTTGACCCCCTCTCCAATGACCATTATCTGTTTCAATTGAAGTGCTTCCCCGGGGCTTGCACGTATTTCAAAGGCTCAAACTGCACCCCTGGCCCCCGGATTACAGCAACAACGGCTCTCGCCCGAGACCCCCTCACAATTTAGCAAGGACCCCGTTCGCGCCTGAGACTTCCTCGCATTTTACTCAGGAGTCGCGCTGTCGCTTGGGATTTCTTTGCTATTTATTCAGGAATCGTTTTCTCGGTGCTTTAGGGTCCCGCTGGCACACAGGAGTCGCGCTCACGCTCAGGACTCCGTTGCAGCTTCTTCAGGAGAGGAGATTTCGCTGCCCTTCCAGCCCCGTTGCAGCCCTTCGTGGCCCCTTCGCTGCTTTTCGTGGCCCTCGTTGCCCTTCATGGCCCCGTTGCAACCCTTCGTGGCCCCCTCGCTGCCCGTCGCAGCCCCGTTGTAGCCTTTCGTGGCCCCCTCGCAGCCCTTCGTGGCCCCGTTGCAACCCTTCGTGGCCCCGTCGCTGCCCTTCGTGGCCCTGTTGCAGCCTTTCGTGGCCTTCTCGCTGCCCCTCGTGGCCCCGTTGCAATCCTTCGTGGCCCCCTCGCTGCCCTTCGTGGCCCCGTCGCAGCCCTTCGCGGACCCCTCGCTGCCCTTTCGTGGCCCCGTTGCAGCCCTTCGCGGCCCCCTCGCTTCCCTTCGTGGCCCCATATACCCCGCCCGCTTGTGCCCGTCGTGGATCCGCACGCAGTCGCTTCGTGGCCCCGCTGTCGCCCTTCGTGGCCCTTCGTGGCCCCCTCGCTGCCCTTCGTGGCCCCATTGCTGCCCTCAGTGGCCCCGTCCTTGCCTTCTGCGGCCCTATCTACGCGCGCCTTTCGCGGCCACCGCTGGTTCGCGCCCGTCGTGGCCCCATATGCGTGCCCTTTGTGGCCCCGCCGTCGCCCTTTGCGGCCCCCTCGCTGCCCTGGGCGGCCCCGTTGCTACCCTCAGTGGCCCCGTCGTTGCCTTTCTGTGGCCCCGCATTATCTGCCTTTCCTGGCTCCTGCTCGTTCGCGCCCTTCGTGGCCCCATACACATGCCCTCCGTGGCCCCGCTGTCGCCCTGCGTTGCGCCCCCTTGCTGCTCTTCGTGGCCCCATCAGTGCCTTTCGTGGCCCCGCTGTCGTTCTCGTTCTCGCTCGCGTTTTCGCTCGTTGTCGTCGTCGTCGTCGTTGTCGTCGTCGGTCCCCTCTCCATCCCTCTTGGGGTCGGGCTGCCGCTGGTCAACGCTGCCGCTGGCCAGGCCGACGGTCCGCGGCCGCCCCGCTGCTTGCCCGTGCCCGGCCTGCAAGGAAGAAATACATACCCCATGAAGGAGGTACGATCGAAGACGAAGAGGGCGGGTATCGAGGGCTTGGGAAATACACGTCGAATGACACCCGAGCAGATAAGCGCGAGCAGTTCACAATGATTGCTAGTAGTGTTGCAATTGTTGGTGTGTGTTTTCTTTGTTTTTGGTGCTGGTATTGTTCTTGGTTTTGCGGATGATGTTATTCGTGGTGCTGGTGTAGCTGATGTTGTTGTTTGCGTTGTTGTTAATGTTCTTGGGTTGTCAACCTTCAAGAACTATTATGGCCGATCACCCCACCAGTGCACATACACAATGTTTGATCAATTGAAGTGCCCTTTCGAGGCTCGCACCCGTTTTTTAATCAAGGCACATTTTCCTGCTCAAACTACATTGTTGGGCCTCGGACAACAACAACAACAACAACAGCAACAACAACAATAACAATAACAACAACAACAACAACAACAACAACAACAGCAACAACAACAACAACAACAACAACAACAATTACTAGCACGTGGGGACACACCGTTCTCACCAGTGCCAGGGTTTTCATAGGAGGCGGGCGATATCCCCACTTTGTGGGGGGGCCGGTTCAAGCTCTACCAAATTTCCAAACGACTCTTCGCCACCACCCACACCCAGCTTCCCGCCCTATGACGTTCGGACACTTCACTTCGTGGCATGCGGACGACCGTGGCTACTATTCAGGGCCCCGCGGCCGACGACGACGGCGTGCGCGCGCGAAGAAAAAACGAATGTGTCCCGCATGGTATTATTTGACAGGGATGATGGCCCTGGCAGGTGCGCAACCGTTGTTGCAGAAGTTCGAAAAAGTTGCTCGCAAAAGCCCGTTTGACAGAAATGATTAAAAAGTGTTGGGTTTCCTACGAATCCGCAAGAGCGCGCGGGATGAAATTTTGACATTTTTTTTTGAAAAACCATTGGTTTTTTGATGTTTTTATGTTAAAATCGCTACGAAAACTAAGGTTTTGGAAGGATTTCGTCTTGCGCGCGCGAATGTCCACTTTACCTTATTTTTTGCAAGGGATTCTTGAAGTTTGGTTATGTTAGAACAAGAAATGTCCACTTTAGCTTATTTTTTGCAAGGGAAAACCGATCGTAACAACACAACCGGATCCGGACTCCCCCGTTTTGCCTGAGACTTCCTCACGAAAATGATGAAAATGAGGCTGCGGCCTAGGCGCGGCGGGGGGGTCGTGCACCAGGGGCCCCAACAATAATTATTCTTTAGAAGTAATAGTGTTCAACAACAACAACAACAGCAGCAGCAGCAGCAGCAGCAGCAGCAACAACAACAACAACAACAACAACAACGACGACAACGGCTCCTGCCTGACACGTCATCGCAATGTATTCCAAAATCGCGCTCTCGCGTTGGACTTCTTCGCAATGCTTTCAAACGCCACGCCCCTCACACTCAGGAGTCACGCTCTCGCTTTAGCCTTCCTTTTGATGTACTTAGGAATCGCGTGATCGTTCAGACCTCGCCAGTAAAAATGCAGGACGCACGCGTCAGCAACCCGCCTGCTCGACCTGGCCGCCTGGGCCCGCCTTCTCGGACCGCCCAGTAGGGTCTACCCGCCCGATCTGCCCGTCTGGTTCTGCCTGTTGCTTTCTGCTCCCAACCCCCCTCCTGCTACTCTCTCGCTCTCTCTCTCTCTCATGCTCCATCCTCTTCCTTCACCCTTCCAGCCGTCCTCTCTTCCCTTGTTCTAGGAGGTGCACTCAATGCGCGTGGCGGGTAAGGGGTATATACCCTCACGGAGGGTGCGATCGAACACGAAAAAGGCGGTATCGAGGGTGCGGGATAAACATGTTGAGTGGCACGCGAGCAGATGAGCGAACAGCCTTGAACTGATTCTTGGTGTTGCTGCTGTTGTTGCTGTTGTTATTGTTGGTGTTGTTACTGCTGCTGTCATTGTTGTTATTGCCGTTGTCATAGTCAATGGTATTTGTACTGGTGTCGGTGGTGGTGTTCGTGAACTCACAATTTGAAAACATGTGTCGTTGATTCCCCCTGCTCCTTAACCATTGCCCATTGCATTTTTGCAAATGAATTCGTTCTCCCGCGGGCTCGTACCCTGTATTTTTTTCCAGGGGGACATGGAATGTCACCAAACTGCGCCCTTGGCCGCCAGTTTACAACAACAGCGGTTCCTGCCTGATGCCCCTTCAGAAACGCATTCCCAAATCGCGCCTTCGCGCGGGGTTTCCTCACCATAGGCGCCGCGCCCTCGACACTCGCGAATCACGCTCTCGTTGCACATGTCCTCCCAATCTATTTGGGAATCGCGCTATCGCGCGAGACTTCCTCGCGATTCATGCAAGAAGCACGCCTCAGCAACCCGCCTGCTCGACCTGGCCGCCTGGGCCCGCCTTCCCGACCCGCCCGTTAGGGTCTACCGCCGGATTTGCCCGCCTGGTTCTGCCACGTGTTTTCTGTTTCTAGCCCCCCTCCTGCAAACTTCTCTCGTTCATCCTCTTCCCTCCCCTTTGTTCCTTCCTTCCAGCCGTCCTCTCTTCCCCTACCTCCGTGGCTGCACGTAATACACGTTGCAGTACGGGGCGACGCAAGGACCAACTTCCCAACTCCAGGCCCGCACATAGCAGCTGGTGCGAGACGGCGCAAGGACCAACTTTCCAACTCCAGACCCGCATGTAGCAGCGGGTACGGGACGACGCAAGGACCAACTTCCCAACTCCAGACCCACAAGGGGGTTCGGGACATACGCGTTGAATGGCACGCGAGCAGGTACTATCGAACAGTCAAAAAATTATAGGTGATGATGTTGTTATTGTTGTTGTTCTTGAAAACGGAGGGCCAAGGGCTCAGTCTGAGGTGCGAGACTTCCCTTGTAGAAAACAGGGTGCGAACTCCAGGAGGGGCACTGACATTGAGAAAGCACACTGTGCACCGGAGGGAGAGGATCAACAATAATCACCCTTCTGGAATGATAACTCACCAAAAACAAGAGACAAAAGCCCACGCACCCAGGAATGGTGCATTAATGCTCGGCCTTCTCGTTCTGAGATAGCTTGCATGTCTCTCTCTGTCTGTATACATATAGAGAGGGAGAACAAACAACAAAAAACAAAAAAACAAAAAGAGAGAGAGAAAGAGAAAGAGAAAGAGAGAGAGAGAGAGAGAAACAAGAAAGAAACTAAGAGAAAGAGAGAGAGAGAGAGCGCGCACCAAATCGGACGACAGGTTCGTCCGCGGGCGGGGCTCCAAGCGCCCACTGCCCGCATCTCTTTGGCGGGAGGGGCCGCACGAAAAGAGCAGGGGTGGCGTGAAAACCTCCCCCCCAGCGCGGCCGACGCAGGGCAGCGACTGGAAAGCAGTGAGAGGCGTGTATATGTATACACGTGTACACATATGACTGGATACGCGTATACAGTTGTGTGCATCTAAATATAACAGATATCAGCAAGAGAGAACGGCGAGAGAGAGAGAGAGGGATCTACATATCTATATACATATATACGCATACATACACATATATGTAGCAAATGCGAGAGAGATACTGAAGAAAGAGAGAGAGAGAGAGAGAAACAACAAAAACCCAAAGAGAGGGAGAGAGCGGGAGAGAGAAAGAGGCAACGCACGCGGCGCCTGCTGAGGCTGCGGGGCTGAGCGGCTGTGTCGACCACCTCGCGCGCCCCGCGCTGCCCGCCCCCCTTCCCTCCCCGCTCTGGGAAAGGGTTTGGGGGCCTGAGGAGAAGGCGAGGGAGAATGGATGGCGTTCCACTTCGGCGCCCCAAGACGGCCCCAAAACCGTGGCGACGGACCGCGTGGTGACCTCAGGGTCCCCAACGAAATCACCGCGCGAACCGCACCGTTTTGGGGCCCCCGCCTCACTAAAGGAAGACAAAATGCATCAACATACACGTCCGAACCTCCGCACGAATTTATCGACTCGGCGCTGGGCTCCTCTCCAAGCGCCGCCAGGGGGGCCTGGCGCAGATTCAAAAGATCCGCGCGGAGCTGTTTATGCAGCTGTGTGTTGCTTTAGTCGTTTGCGTCATCCCCCTCCTCCTCCTCCTCCTTCCTCCTCCTCCTCCTCCTCCTCCTCCTCCTCCGAACTTGCATGGCATTTCTCACCGCACCCCCCATCCCTCACTCGGCCACCTTTTCAAGCAGCGTTGGGCCGAACAGGCGTGAGAAAGAGTCCCGACTTGCGTGAAGTCCTGTCGTCCTCTCAGGTCTCGCCATGCCACCCACTCTCCCCCTCCAAGCAAGTCTTCTTTCCCGAGCCTGCGCACAAACGGCACTAAGGCTTGCTGTGTTGAGTCGCGTGCCCCGCCCCGCCGCCCCCCCATTGAGCAGGGACCGACCGTCCCGGCATTCCTATAGTCATACCACGAAATGCTCTGAGAACCCAAAAATGTTCCAAGAACAAAAACAATGTTCTTAGAACATAAGCCCGATGTGCTAAAACAAGACAGACTCCGCCAGAAATGTCCTAAGAACCTTTCGTGGAAACCACAAACGGTCCTTAGAACATTGCTTGGTAGGGCTGTTGGCGAGCCAAGATGCTACGCCGCTGCTTGACCCCACCTCTGGCCCGAAGCTCCCGAATATCAGCCCCCCAGGCCCCACCGCTGACCTCCTTCCCGAGGCGGAAGCACCCGTGGCGACGAGAAGCCTCCCGGAGGCCCAGGAGGGACCACACGCGCCCCGGAGGGGCGCCGCTCTCGACCGGCCCTCCTCCGATGAGACGGCCCACCCCAGGGCTCGAGTTAAACGGTGTTTTCCGTTTTCGTTTTGCTTTCGTCATCCCCAGTTCTGTCTTCGTTCCACACTTGCTGCAGAACGACAACAAAACGAAAACGGTCCACGAAATTGCCAAAGCACCGCTTAGCTCGAGCCCTGGCCCACCCACCTAGAGGCCCCCCTATAGATGGGGTCCGCGTAGACGGGGGGGAGGATCGCGCCGCACCGCCGCGCCAGTGCACCAGCGATGCCTCGGCGATGCATCGCCGACGTCGGCGACGCATCGGCAACGACGGCGTGGAGGTCGAGACGCATCGGTACAGACAATCTGTATACGAAGGACGCACGAGAAGGACCCAGGACAAGTGGACCAGCGTCCTCCTCCTCCTCCTCCTCCTCCTCCTCCGCCTCCTCCTCCTCCTCCTCCTCCTCCTCCTCCTCCTCCTCCTCCTCCTCCTCCTCCTCCTCCTCCTCCTCCTCCTCCTCCTCCCTCCTCCTCCTCCCCCTCCCCCTCCCCCTCCCCTCCCCTCCCCCTCCCCCTCCCCCTCCCCCCTCCCCCTCCCCTCCCCCCCCCCTCCCCCTCCCCTCCCCCTCCCCCTCCCCTCCCCTCCCCTCCCCCTCCCCCTCCCCTCCCCCTCCTCCTCCTCCTCCTCCTCCTCCATCCTCCTCCTCCTCCTCCTCCTCCTCGCCTCGTCCCTCCTCCTCCTCCTCCTCCTCCGCCTCCTCCTCCTCCTCCTCCTCCTCCTCCTCCTCCTCCTCCTCCTCCTCCTCCTCCCCTCCCCCGCGCAGCAGGCATCTGCACACCACCGCCGTGCCTGGCCAGGGCCAGCCTCTGGGCCCCACGGTGGCGTGCATATGGACCCTCCTGGCCTCGGTCAGGAGGTGTGTACACCACGCCGGGGCCCAGGATGGCCCTGGCAGGCCCGGTCGGTGGTGGCGCACGAATGGCCCTGTCAGGCCAGTCGTGGCGCTGGCAGGCACGGTGGTGGCCCTGGCAGGCCAGAATGGCCCACGACGGTGGTGGCCTTGGAAGGCCCTGTCGGAACTGTGCGAGCGGGGCGCAGCCAGCGAACGCGGGCAAGGATGGGCCGGAGGGGGAGGAAGCAGGGGCAACCTTGGAAAGTCACTCATCCTTCCTATGCGTATAGATGGTTTTGCGGATGGGGGTGCGGACTCTACGAAGGGTCCATTTCGGGCGGGTGGTGACGCGCCGGCTGGGGGGCCGTGTGCCTCTGTTTGCGGACAGACGTCCACAAGCGTTGTGGGTTCAGATTGTGGGTAGAGGTCCGTCAGACGGGGGCGTGTGCGTGGTCCAATGTCCAGCCCAGGAAGGAGCGTGCGCCCCCCGCCTGAGGGGGAACGCCAGGAGGGACCAGCTCAGGAGGGGAAACATCGACCTGGAATCGGCGATACGTCGCCGACAGATCGGCAGAACGGCCCCCGACAGCGAACCCGCATGCTCTTGGTCGGGGTGGGCTGTCGGGCCCCCATCGGCAATCTATGGGCGACTGGGGTCGACGGATCCCCCCCTGAGCCTGTGCCTATCCCTTTATGGTTCTCGGGCCGCAGCTCGGGCGGGCACCCCCGGGAAGCTCCCGGCGAGGCGCAGCTGCCAGAGAGCACCCCGAGACTGGAAGACCGCCGAGAACCGACGAAGACACACAGCCCGAAGCCCTCGGGCCTCGGGCCCGAGCCTGAGCCTGCCGCGGCGGCGCCGCAGGAGGGGGGGGGGCGCGAGGAGGGGGGGGGGAGCAGCCTTCGAAAGGAGCCTGCATCGGGGGGTGCCGGAAGCGCCCGTGGTCCCCAAGGTGCCCCCCAGGCTTTCCACGGAGGCCCCCCACGGCCTCCAGAGCACCCCTCACGAGGGCCCGAGGGCCCCATGGACTCCAAAATGGAACGGAACGCTGGGGGCACGGGCCAGGGGCACCTTGAGCAACATCCGACTGTAGGCTCCTGGAGAAAGCCTTTGTGAAGCCTCTGGCCCCTGCCGAGAAGGCCCCTGCTCTCTAGGAAGCGCGCCGCCCCCTTGAGACGGCCCCCTCCCTCGCCCTACCCCCTCGCGCGCGCCTCCCACAATTCCCCCCGTACAGTCGAGGTACTACCAGAAGCAAGGCTACAGAAGGAACGACGCGGCGTCTCCGGCCACGCTGGACCTAGGCCACCAACAGACCCCGCGACACAAATCTAGGGAACGACCCAGAACCCCGATCCCATTCCGAACCCGACGCGGTCATTACTGCAAGGTCTTAGCTGTGTAACGCTGCCCCCCGAGACCTCCCCGCCGCACGGGAAAGGGGGGCCGCCTGATCGCCAGCGCCACTCCGCGTGGGGCGCGGCGGCGCTTGCGGCCAGAGCCCCTCCCCGTCCGCAGCCTGGCGGAGAGCAGTGGGGAGGGAGCAAGGGGCGATAGAACATGCGCGCGCCGTGAAGAGATCGCGACGGGAAAGTTTTGTCAACTTTCGGCCCCTGGGAGGCACTTGGCGGGCCCCGGGACCGTCGAAAAACAGCTCGGCATGAAAAACCGTACCTGGGACAGGGTCGGGACTTCTGGGGTCCGGACCGCGCACTGAACAAATCAAGACTTTGCTTGTCTGGGGGCGAAGAGGAGGAAGAGGAGCGGCAGGTGAAGGAGGATGAGGAAGAGGAGGAAAAGGAGGAGGAGGTGGAGGAGAAGGAGGAGGAGGAGAAGAGGGAGCAGGAGGAGAAAGGGAGGACGAGGGGGAAGAGGAGGAGGAGGAGGAGAAGGAGGAGACGTAGCAGGAGGAGAAGGAGGAGGAGGAGGAGGAGGAGGAGGAGGAAGCGGCGACCGATGTGGAGAAGGCGCGGAGGTGCAGGAAAAGGAGGAGGAAGGAGGAAGAGGAGGAGGAGGAGGAGGATGAGGAGGAGGCGGAGAGGCGGAGGCGAGGCGGAAGGAGGAGGGGGAGGAGGAGGCGGAGGGAGGCGGAGGCGGAGGCGGAGGCGGAGGGGAGGAGCAGGAGGAGGATGAGGAGGAGGAGTAGGAGGGAGGAGAGGAGGAGGAGGAGGAGGAGGAGAGGAGGAGGAGGAGGAGGAGGAGGAGGAGGAGGAGAGGAGGGAGGAGGAGGAGGAGGAGAAGAGGGGGAGGCGGAGGCGGAGGCGGAGGCGGAGGCGGAGGAGGAGGAGGAGGAGGAGGAGGAGCAGGAGGAGGTGGAGGAGGAGGAGGAGGAGGAGGAGGAGGACGGGGAGGAGGGGGGGGGGAAGGAAGGGGTAGAGGGCGAGCAAGCGAGGAGGGCGGGGCGGGGGAGAAGAAGCAGGAGAGCAGAGGGCACCGCATGCCTTGGGTCGTCTGCCCCGCGTCTCGCAGGGCCCGGCGTGCGGGCGATGGGGGGGAGGCAGGGGATCTAGAGACGGCGGGGCGATGGGGGGGAGGCAGGGGATCTACAGACGGCGGCCGCAGGCGCCCGCCGCCCACCCGATGACGCAGCAGGCATCTATACGCCACCACCGTGCCTGGCCGGGAGCCATCCTGGGCCCTTTCTGAAGGGGTCCAGGGACACACAAATATGACGAGACACAAGCCCCAGAATATTCCCTATATTTTCTGAGTGTTCGACTTCCCCCCCACTTCCAATATTGGCCCTAATATTATCGTAATTACGATCGTACGTTCGCACGGTCGTGTTCATGCCTGGAGGGGGCTTTGAGGCAGCTCGGCGGCGCGGCTCGCAAAAGCCTGGCGGCAGACGCAACAAACAAGAAACGGCAGCGGCCGAAGCACAAACGCAGCAGCGGCCTGCGACGAGCGCAGGCAGCGCCAGAACAGCGTGCGGAGGGCGCTCAGAAGGAGCCCAAGAGGGAGCGGGGCCGCGGTGGGAGGCGGCTGTTTCGAGCACCGCTGGCGGGTGTTGCTGGCGGAGCCAGCCGCCCTCGAAGCCTTCTGCAACCTCTGCCACCGGCTGGCCACTTGGGGACTTACCCGCGAGCGCCGCGGACGCCCTCGCCCTCTCCCTGGTGACGCCTCTCGGCAAACCCGCAGACGCCGAGCGCCCCATCGCCGCGCCTAAGATCCTCCACCGCTTGGTGGGGTGGGCGCTGGAGATGCCGCAGGAGGAGGACCTCGCGACCGCGCTCGGCCCGCACCAGTTCGCCGCTGGCACCAAGGCGGGCACTGAGCTGCTGGCGCACACTGCCCGGGCACTGACGGAGGCGAGCCCGGACCAGGTCTTGGTGGCGCTGGACGAGAAGAACGCCTGCGGGACCGCGCGCCGCGAGGCTTGCCCGGGGGGGCTGGAGGAGGCGGCGCCGGAGCTCCTCCTTGGCGCAGCCCTCTTCTGCCGGCGCCGCTCCCCGTATCACTTCTGGGGCGCGGGCGGAGATTGCGCCTTGGCTCGCCAGACGGCGTTGACTGGGCGGGGCCCGCTGGCGCCCCTCCGCTTCGCCTGCGGCCTCCGCTCCCCCCTCCGGGGTCTTGAGGCCGCGCTGAAGGGAAGGGCAGCCGCCCTCGGCCTGCGGGCAGGCGATGTCCGCGTCCTGGCTCACCTGGACGACGTCGTCGTCCTCGCGCCGCCTGCACCGGCAAGCGAGGTCGAGGCGGCCGCGGAGGCAACTCCGGGACCCAGGGGCTCGGACTGCAGCGGCAGAAGACGCAGGTCTGGTCACCCCGCTCGCCCTGCCCGCCAGGGCCGGAAGAAGGCTGGCGCTCACTGGGGGCGGCCTGTTCCCCGAGGCGAGGGCTTCCAGACGGAGGTGGGGGTCTAAAATTGCTCGCCTGGGAGGGCTGTGACCCCCCTGTGGGGCCTCTTGGGAGCCTCTCGGGGCCGCCTTGGGGCCTCTGCGGGCCTCTGGGGGCCTCTTGGGGGCCTCCTTAGGGCCTCCTGGGGGCCTCTCGGGGCAGAGAGCTCGAGATGTCCGTCTGGGTCTCATAGAATAACAACTGGCGTATTGCAATGGCCTTCGGCCCAACCCGCCACCGTGCCTGGGATTGCGGGTCGGTGTCCGCAGGGCGACCTGTCTCAGGAGCATCCACAGTCATTTCGAAAGCACGCATGCCGCGGACGTTCTTATCACGAGGCTGGTCTCGCGGACTGGCGGGCCGTATTCATATACGCGGTTGGGTGCGCAGGTTCTTTGTGGGATCCCTGCTGTTGGGGGATCACCTGGGAGGCTTTCGGGAGCCTCGCGGATGCAGCCTTTGAGGCCCCTCGGAGGCCGTCCGCGAGTCCCGGGGGCCTCCCCTGTGCCTCTCGGCGGACGGCTCCAAGAGCCAGAGAGAACCCACGATGACCTCCAGGACTCCAGGATGGCTCAAGATAGCCTAAGATGGCTCAAGATGGCTCTCAAGATGCTCCTAGAGGCCCCAAGACCGCTCCAAGACGGCTCCGAGTGGCCACGGAGCCTCCCCAGGAGGCCGGCACGAGGCCAAAATCCTTCAAACTCTCAGGGAAAACCCATGAATTGTGCCTTCTCGCCTTTTCGCTTTCGATGGTTTTTCGAGGCCTCAAGACAGCTCCAAGAGGGCCCAGGAGGGCCCCAAGAGAGGCCCAAGAGAGCCCCAAGAGCGCCCAAGAGCGCTCCGAGAGCGCCCAAGAAAGACCGACATGTATCTTGTGCTCCTTCCTGCCCCCCACCCCAGGAGCGGCAAGATTCGTGGGGAAAGCGCCGGCATTGCAGAAGATGCGGCGTCGGAGCCTGGAGAGGTCCCTGCACAGGCCCCTGGAAGGCAAAAACGATACTTTCAGGCGTCCGATTGCCGCGATCCTCGACCGCGAGAGAGCTGACAGGGAGTGTGGCGGCCCTGGGCCCCTGCTTTGTGAGACTCTCAGATGGACAAAGCATCTCGGGGACAAAACTCACAGGGCAAGTACGTAGAGGCCTCGAGCCTAGATGGGGTCGGAGTGGATGGGGTCGGGGGATCGCGCCGCATCGCCGATACATCGGCGATGCACCAGCGATGTATCGGCGTGGCACCGCCGATGCATCGTCGACGTCGAGGATGCATCGGCGGCGTCGACGTGCAGCAAATCGGGCCCCACATCGAGCCGCCTCGGCGATGCATCGGCGATGCGGCGCGATCCTCCGACCCCGTCCACTCCGACCCCGTCTGAGAGGCCCAGAGCAAAACAACCACGCGGCATGGCGCCGGCGGGGCCCGACGGAGACGGGCCCTGGGCCCGGGGCCCCTCCTCCAAGACCACCTTCTCGTCCTCCGCCGTGCTCTGCCATCAGCGGCGAGCGGGGTTGAAGTGAGAATAGAGAGCAAAAAGCCCACCTTCATAATTCGCCGGTCCAACGGGCCAGAGGCATGCTAAGATCTCCAGTAACAGGTTAACAATTACACCTGAGAAAACCCCAATCAGTGGATGTGTTGAAAATTAATACTATGGATCTTGAGATCGATTGTGAGATTGATAATGAGATCGATAGTGCAATCGATAGTGAGGACGATTGTAAGGTCGATCGTGAGACCGAGAGTGAAATCGATTCAATGAGATCGATAGTGATATCGATCGCGAGATCGCTCATGCGATCTCTAGTGAGATCGCTTGTGAGATCGATCATGAGATCGATTGTGAGATCGATGGTGAGATCGGTAGAGAAGTGGGTAATGAGATCGATGGTGAGACCGATCGATAAGAAGATCGACCAAGAACCCGGGAACCCGCGAACCTCGCCGCCCTCCGAAATCGGCTCGGAAACTGGAACCGGGAACCCGGGAACCCGGGAACCCAGAACCGGGAACCCAGGAACCCAGCGTGCGACCAAAATCGGGGGGACACTTTGGCCAAATCCTTCAACTTCCGCGAGGACCCCTTCAGTGCAAGCACTGATTGGGGAATATTTCTAGTTCGCGCGCGCGTGGCGGCCCCTGGGGATCCCTGGACGAAAAGTACACCGGGCGATGCCCAGCCGATGCCCGGCCGCCTCCCCCCGGGCGCTCCAGGAGCGCGCCAAGAGGGCGCCGGGACGCCCCCCACGCGGCCCAAGAGGCCCCGAGTCGCCGAAAGATCGTTCCAAGACGCTCAAGAGATGGTCTTCAGAGGGCCTCGGAGGCCGCGAACAAGCCCCAAGAGAACAAACAAAAATCGCCCCATTGCCTTTGGAAAACGTATATGTTTCGCATGTGCGACGTTTCACGTCTTTTCTGTCTTCCAACGCTCCAAGACAGCACAAGAGGCCCCCGAGACCGCCGCAAGACGGCCCAAGAAGCCTCCAAGACGGCACCAAGACGGCCTAAGATGGCCCCAACACAGCCCAAGAGGCGCCCAAGATGGCCCAAGAGGGTCCCACAACGGCCCCAAGAAAGGCCCAAGACGGGGACCAGGAACCGAACAGTCCAGCCTTCAGCCCCAGGCCCCAAGAGGCCCCCAAGAGGCCCCACGGGGTTCCCAAGAGGCACCCCCAAGAAGCCCCAAGAGGCCCCCGAGAGGCCCCAAGAGACCCCAACAGGGCCCCCGCGAGGCCTCAAAACTGCCTACCAGAGGCCCCCAAGAGGCTCCAACACGGCCCCCAAGCGGCGAGGCAATATGGGCCGGTGGAATGAGCGAAGCGATTACATATTTGATAAGCACCCCGACAAGCGAAGGCGTTTAGCAAACGTACCCTAAGAAGGAATCAACCACGAGAGGGTTGTTCAGTACACGCCCAGGGCCGTCTAGCAAACGCCAGGTATCGGGGTCGGGGTGGTTGTTCCTCAATGGAGCGATAGAGAAAGCCTTCTCAGAAGGCAGCGGGACTTCTCAGAAGCCCTCCGGCCTTCTGAGAAGTTTTCTGCGTTTTCGGGGAGGTCTTCGAAGGAGGAGGAGGAGGAGGAGGAGGAGGAGGAGGAGGAGGAGGGGGAGGAGGGGGAGGAGGAGGGGGAGGAGGGGAAGGAGGAGGAAGGGGAGGAGGACGACGAGGAGGAAAAGGCTTGGAGGACTTCTCAGAAGGCCGCGGGGGACTTGCGAGCCTCCCGAGAAGGCCCCGCCCCTTCTCGCTTCCCCCCCCTCGCTCGCCGACGATGTGTAAGGTCCCAGGGCCCGTGGAGGACCTCCCGGGCCCGAAGCGGCGAAACACCTCCCAAGGGCACGTTCCCTCGGGGCCGCCTCCTCCGCGGCGAATCAGAGGTGTGAGGCCTGGAGAGTGGCACCAGCACCAACAAAAAGGGGGTTGCCTTCAAAGGCGGAAGAGGATCCTGAATTCTGGTGCTGGTCGTAATCTCTCGGCCACCCGAGAAGCTCGAGTATGGCCGCAGTCATCGGGATCGGGGTCACCGTCCCTCGGTGGAGACAGCCGCCGAAACTGGTTTGTATGTTCCTTGTTCGTTGCATCTGCATGTGTTATCATGTTGTGCTTTGTGTTTCTCGGAGACAGCCGCCGACCTGCTGGTGTGGGTGCCCAACTTCTGAGCCCCCGGAAACTGCTGCCTCGATCCTCGGATCCCGAGGGAGCGGCGGGCGCAGGGGCCGGCCTGGAAGAAGAGATTACTTCACGCCTAGTCGGGCGTTGATCATCGCCTGGAGGTCGTCCCTCGAGGCGTGGGCGGCCTTGGCCTGGCGGCCAGCGGTGGGGGCGGGGGGGCAGAGGGAAGGAAAGAGAGAGAGAGAGAGAGAGAGCGGGAGGAGGAGGAGGAGGAGGAGGAGGAGGAGGAGGAGGAGGGACAGGGGGGAGGGGGGGGGGGAGAGGGAGGAGGAGGGACGAGGGAGGAGCAGGGAGGAGGGGAGGGGTCGGAGGAGGTGAGGAAGGGGAGGGAGGTGCGAGGGGCAGGAGGGGCAGGAGGAGGGAAGAGAGGAAGGAGAGAGAAGAGAGGGGGAAAAGAGAGGAGAGGAAGGGAGGAGAGAGGATGGCGAGGGAGGAGTAGGAGGAAGAGGGAGGAGGGATTACCGAGGAAGAGCAGCAGCAGCAGCAGCAGGAGCAGCAGGAGAAAACGAAGAGGGTGGGCCCGCGTTCGGACGGGGCCTTCATCTTCTCTCGCTGTGCAGCTTCCTTCTGCGCCTTCTGGACGATCATCCGCGCCTCCTCAATCTCGGCCTGAGAGAGGAAGAGCAAGGAGGATGATGAGCAGAACGGAGGACAGGGAGGAGGAGGAGGAGTAGGGCGGTGGTAGCAAAAGGAAGAGTAGGAGTGACGATGAGCAACGAACATAAAGGCGAGGAGGATGAGTAAGATGGTAAAGGGGAGGACGCAGAGGAGTTGAATGAATGCCGAGATGAATAAGTGAAGAGGAGGTGGATGAGGACTAGGAATAAGACGGTGGTCTACCTCTAAAGAGGTCTGTCCAAGGAGGTGAACGGGAACGAACACACAATAACATGAATCGCGCAAGGTTCGCATGGCAGGGCCGAGCTCAGCTCAGCCCATCGGCTCTTCCGCTGCCTGCGCCGTGTGCGCACCAGCATGCTTACCTCGAGTCCTCGAACCCCGCCCTCCTCGTTCAGAACAGTGCTCCGCTCCTCAGGGGGGCGTGAAACGAGGCCCCGGACAAGCTAAAGGACAAGCGGGTCGGGCGGGGTGGACCCGCCAACGGGCGGGTCGAGCGGGCGGCTCCTGACGGCCGACGCGGACGGGCGGGCGGGCCTCCAGGCCACAAGCCATCGATCGGTCGCGGCGGGCGGACTTTGACGCGCGGGCCGGGCGGGCGGACCCCAACGGGCGGATCGGGCGCTCGGACCCTGACGGGCTGGCCGGGCGGGTGGAGCGTTGAAGCGAGTTTCTCCTTGGACCATTCGGGGGGCATCGGGCGAGAACGCGCGTCCCAAAGGAGCGTTGTTTCCCCTTCCCAGGTAACGGTCGTTACCCGGGGGGGGGGGTCGGGCGGGAGGGCAACGATAACGGCAGGATGCGTCCGCGCCCCCTGCGCATCAATCGCCTGTGTGCGCCACAGTCCTTGTGCACACGACGAGGCCCAATGCCTGCGTGCAACGCAGAGCCGCCTGTGTACACCACAGTGCCTTCGTACACCACAACAGCCGCGAGCACCGCAACACCACGTCGACTATGTACACCGCCGTGCCTGTGTAAACTGCAGCAGCCGTGTGCGCAACAGCCTCTGAATACACCACATTGCCTGCGTGCGCCAGAGCGCTTGTGTATACCACGACGCCTGCGCACACCGTAGCAGCCATGTGAACCGCAACACCTGTTCACGCACCAGAATACCAAACGTGTCAGCGAGCACATTCTAGTACTTTGAGAGCTTCTTTGCGAAGCTCGCCACAGATCACGGAGGCCCTCAGGACTCGTTGTTCATCTCCTCCTCCACCTCCTCCTCCTGATCCTCATGCGCCTCCTCCTCCTATATCTCCTCTCCTTTCCTCTTTCAACGGTCCTGGCGGCCTTCGTTGAGGGCGGGAATACGGAGCGGGAAGAGGAGCAGGAGGAGCTAGAGGAGCAGCAACAGGAGGAGCAGCAGGGACCTCACGACGGGGTCAAAAGCTCCAGCGCCGTTGGCGTTGAAATCTGACATCGCGTGGATCGTTCAATCTTGAACGAGATCCGCTCCTGGAGGACCCTGGAGGCCCTCGACACCATCTTCGATATCGACTTCGCGCCATGGGCTCGTTCCTGTAGGTCTCGGGGCCCGAAACGGGCCCCTGCGTCGCGTTCAACCTCGAACGCCCGCTCAACCGAAAACCGCGCGACATCGGCCCCCCAGCCCGCCGCTCCCCGAGTATGGCACCTTGGCAATGAGTCCGCCTGACATATGCCCACCGCAACAGCCTGCAAGCGCCACAACACGCATTCGAGTACCGAAACATGCCTTTCAGCACCACGCCATGCCTGTGAGCTCGGCGCCGCAACAGGTGGAGAGCCTGCGAGCGCTACAACACTTTCGTGAGCACCGAAGCATGCATTTGAGCACCGCGCCATGCCTGTGAGCACAGCGGCACACCTGCGGGGGGTCCGCCCCCTAACATGCAGGGAGGGGTCCAGGCCACCCCGCCCACTGCGATCGTTAGCGTTACCCGAGAGGGGGGGGCGGGTAACGAGCGTTACGCTGGGGAGGGCTAAACAAAACTCACCAAGAAAACTGTAACACGTCCTCGGCAAACGCTCAATCCCCGACGGGCAAGAGCGCGAACCCTGACCCAACCGTGAGGAAATGTCAAGCGAGAGCACGCCTCCTGAGTGAGAAAGTTGCGAACGAATCTCGAGCCAGAGCGCGATTTATGAATTATCCGCCAGGCGGAAGAAGTGGGTAGACACATGAAGTAGGAAGTAGTTGAAAGTAGATTGGGCTTTCGCGCGCCCCCTGAAGAGGAGGGAAGAGGGGGGCCCACTCGACTCCTGAAGCAGGAAGGCGCCTGACATGGATTGGGATTTGGGCAACCGACAATACAAACTTCCAACGACCAACGGGTGCACTCGACTGCGCGCACAGGGGGGTAGAGGGAGGGGAGAAGGCTTCTAACAAGGATGCTCTTTCTTAGAAGGCGCCCTCCTTACATCTACAGATGAGGCCTGCGCCTTCTAAAAAGCAGCCCTCTTCTGAGAAGCCTTCCCCCTCCTCCTCCTCCTCCTCCTCCTGGCACAAGGTGCCCCCAGGATTTCCAAGGAGGCCCCCATGGCCTCCAGATCACCCCTCACGAGGCCCAGGGGACCCGAGGGGCTCCAAAATGGAGCGAAAAGCTGAAGGCACCTCGGGCTAGGGGCACCTTCAGCAACCCCCGATCCTCCCGAAGGCTCAGACGGTCTCCGGCCTTCCAAGGAGCTTCCTCAGCATCCTCGGAGTCCCGAAACGGTGCGGTGACAGACCGTGCGGTGACCTCGGAGCCGACGAGCCCTCGAAGACCTCACCACACGGCTCGTTACTCCCACGGTTTCGGGCCTCGAGCCTCGATCTTCGAACCCTGGTCCTCGAACCTCAAACCTCGACCCTCGAGGTTCGGCAAGGATCTACTGACACGGGTCAGTCCAGACCCGGGTCAGTCGGGCTTTGCAAGATCCTGCAAGATTGTACAGGATCGTGCAGGATCCTGCGCCAAAGCCCGGGTCATGCGACCCTGGCTCTTCATGATCCTGCAAGAACTGGCGCTCTGACTGACCCCCGTTTGCATTGACCCCCGTCTCTTGAGCCCCGAATTCGAGTCTCGGCGGCGAGCCCGGGGGGGAAGAGAGAAGGGGCGGCCCTTCTCAGAAGGCTCGGAAGTCACCCGGCCTTCTGAGAAGTTCTCCGAGCCTCACCCGAAGATGCAGAAGACCTCTCAGAAGGCGCCGAAGGCTATCGAGAAGCCCCGCCGCCTTCTGAAAAGGCATTCTCCTTCTCACTTCCCCCGCCGACGAATGGGGGAATCGAGTCCTGAGAGAAACGGGCCCTGGACCCTCGGGCCTTCCTCCAGGACGAGTTCTTCATCCCGAGTCGTCTTCTGACAGTCCCGGGGCCCGTGGAGGGCCTCGGGAAGCTGGCAGCGGCGAAGAACCTCAAGACCGTCCCCCTCAGGACCAAGAGTTCCCCCATGGCGACAGCCCCTCCCTCGCCGCCGAGAACCTCGGACCTCAATTGGCGGCGAGCGAGGGGAAGAAGTGAGAAGGACAAGGCCTTCTCAGAAGGCTCAGAAGTCCCCAGGCCTTCTGAGAAGCTTTCTGAGCCTTCCCCGAAGACACTTGAAACCTTCTCAGGAGGCGCACAGGGCTTCTGAGAAGTCCCGCCGCCTTCGGAGAAGGCCTTCTCCTTCTCACTTCCCCCCTCGCTCGTCGCCGAGAGAAAGTCAAGACGCCGGACCCTCGGGGGGTGGCACACACCGGTGGTGTTCTGGCGATGGCACCCGGCCGAGGCCTGGGCACTCGGCGCGCGCGCTTCTGCTCCTGCTGCTGGCGCGGCTCCTCAGACTGCCCTCTCGCGCGCTCGGGGCTCCACCGTCGCCGCCGGGCGAGCGAGCGAGAGAAAACAACTGATCACTTTGCTCGCCGCCGACTCCTCGACTCCTGGGGGGAGGCGGGGCGGCGAGGAGAGACAGCGCAGAGGGATGCACGTCGTGGGGGGCGTGGAGAAAGTAGGAGGAGGAGGAGGAGGAGGAGAGGAGGAGGAGGAGGAGGAGGAGGAGGAGGAGGGGGGGAGGAGGAGAGGGGGGGAGAGGAGGAGGAGGAGGAGGAGGAGGAGGAGGAGAGGAGGAGGGGGAGGAGGAGGAGGAGTGTGGAGAAAGTAGGAGGAGAGGAGGAGGGGAGGAGGAGGAGGAGGAGGAGGAGGAGGGAGGAGGAGGAGGGAGAGGAGGAGGAGGAGGAGGAGAGGAGTGTGGAGAAAGTAGGAGGAGGAGGAGGAGGAGGGGAGGAGGAGGAGGAGGAGGAGGAGGAGGAGGAGGGGAGGGAGGAGGAGGAGGAGGAGGAGGAGGGAAGAGGAGGAGGAGGCCTCGAGCGCCGAGGCTCGGCCCGAGTGCCCCGGCGGGAGGAGCACGGGGCGGCGGGGCGCGGCCGGCGGGGGGCGCCCGGCCTCCGAGGCCGGAGGGGGCAGCGCGTCGCCTGCCCCGCCGGCCGCCGCCGCCGCTCGCGGCCTCTCCTCTTGCGGCTGCTGCTGCTGCTGCACGGCCTCCTCCTCCTCCTCCCTCCTCCTCCCTCCTCCCTCCTCCTCCCTCCTCCTCCTCCCTCCTCCCTCCTCCTCCCCCTCCTCCTCCTCCTCCTCCCTCCCCTCCTCCCTCCTCCTCCTCCTCATCCTCCTCCTCCTCCTCCTCCTCCTCCTCCTCCTCCTCCTCCTCCAGCGGCCAGCGCGGACCGGCCCGCTTTTCCAGCGCAGTCAGGCCGTAGAATATACGAGCGCACGGCAGGAGCCCGTTGGGTTACTCGCCGTCGCTCGGACGTCCATTTCCCATGCATTCGTCGGTTTCCTGCGTGCGTTTTTCGCTCGATGATCCAGGATGTTCCTCAAGGGTCTTCGCCGAGAACAAAAAAACACACGTCCGAGCGATGCCAGGGTCAGATCCAGGCGCGGCACGACTATACTTGCATGGCGTTGCCCCCCCCCCCCCGCCCCTCAAACGGATACTAGCGTGCAAGTGCCTTCCGACTTGCGTGGTTTCCGCACGTGCAAGTCGTTCGAAGATTGCTTCAGGTTCAGGCCCCTTCCCCCGCCCATGCAAGTAGACTTGCCAGGTTCTGAAAAAAGCAAGCCCTAAGGACGCAGGGGCCTCGCAAGAAAGTTCCTGGGAACCTTCTTCGAAGAGAGACGGGACCTCCCAGAAGCCCAGAGGGCTGCTGAGAAGCCCCGCCATCTTCTGAGAAGGCCGGCGCCCTCTCACCTCACCCCTCGGCGCGCCGCCGATATCAGGTGCACGAGAATCAAAAGGTGAGGGGGGAGGGGTTTGTACAGTCAGCCCGTAGAATGAGGACGCCGAGAAGGATGCCAAGGCCTCGGAGGGCCATGCCGACACTTTGCGGGAGCGGGGCGCGGCCAGCGCGAAGGCGGCCAGGGATGGGCCGAAGGCGAAGGATGCACTGGTAACCTTGGAAAGTCGCTCATCCTTATTATGCGTGCAGATGCCTTCTGCGGATGGGGTTGTGTACTCTAGAAAAGGGTCCGTTTTGGGTGGGTGGTGACGCGCCGGCCTGGGGGGCCGTGTGCTTCTGCGTGTGGTCAGACATCCACAAGCGTTGTGGATTCAGATCGTGAATCGAGGTCCGTCAGTATGCGGGTTGACTGCATGTCGCTCATCCTTAGTATGCGGGTTGACTGTAATGTGACGCGCTTGGCACTACAGTCACAGGGGCGCCAAATGCGGAGCGAATGGGGCCTGCCTGGCCACGGGAAGCCTCGGCAACGAACAGGTTCCCCGACCTGGGATGAAGGCAGGATCCGCAAACCAGGGCCCTTACTGAGCCCAAAGTGGTCCTGAAATTAGCGTCTTGACAATTCGGCGGGCTCGTGTCGTGTCGACTTCGGCGTCGGTTTCTGAGACCACGGCGTCGACCTCGATTCCACGTTGGCCGATTCTTGGCCAGCGGCGGCGTTTAATCTGTTGGCACGCCCGTAATGGGTACGGAACAAATGGGTACCATGTCAAATTGCAAATGTTGTTCGAGAGCACCAGCAGCTGCTGTTGAGCAGGCGTTTTTTGCCTCACATGGACAACGTCCGCGGCGACGCCGACAACGAATCCTGCTCAAAATGGACAAGAACTTCTGTCGGCCGTCGTCCCCATTCTTGCCGTACCAACTTCGATTGTACCGAACCTCGGAACGCCGGCGGCAAGGTTGCCGCCGCGTCGACACGACGCGAACCAACCGTGACTATCTCGCCTGGGTCGGCTTCGTCTGTCTGCTCGCAGACGCTGCGGCCGCTCGGCCTGCAGCTTGAGCGGCGCGACAGAAAGCAGGCGTCCGACAGAGTGGCTTTCTGTTTAAGCGGGAGTAGGGAGTAGTGGGTCTGGCGCTACTGGGTCCGCGGGGAGAGGTGCAATAGTACTTTGCAATAGTTGGGGTCTGCAAGCAGCAGCTTGCGCGCTGGATGCAGTAGTGGCGCGTGGATGCAGTTGTGTGTCTCTCTTTCACATGCAGTAGCTGTTGCCCTTGCAACAGGTCGTGGCCCCCCACAAGTTGTGCGTGCTGTTGCGCGCAGCAGTGCACAATCCATGGACGATTGCACCCCTCACCGCCCCCCCAATCTGCGCCACACGCACTGCTTCGGCTTAGATGTCAGCGCGCGGCCCCAGAAGTCCCAGCCCCCTCCCTGGGGCAGTGTTTCGCCCGAACTCGGAATTGCTGCTAAACTCCAGCAAAAAAGCAACTCCCGCCTGTCCGCCCTGCATACCGCGGTCGCCGGTTCCCACAAGATCCCGTGAGTCCTGGAGTGTCCCGCCTCGCGTCCTCCAGGGCACGAGCTGAACAGCGTGTTTCGTGCTCTTGTTGTTATCGTTGTCCTTCGTTCTTTCTTCGTTCTGCCTGTGCTGCGACACGAAATCAAGACGAAAGCGATCCACGACATCGCCAAAACACGAGCTAAGCTCGAGCCCTGGCGTCCCCGACGATGAACGACGCCATGCCGCGGTCGCCAGACAAACCCCACCAGATCCTGGGAATCCCCTGGTGCCCCGCCCCGCGTCTTCGACGAATGATGACACCCTGCACGCCAGAGCCCCGATGGGGAGGCGTCATAGCGTCATGCCGTCCAAGCGTCTCGGCGCATGGGCAAAGAAGCAGGAACAATCGGCATCAAGAACACGATACAGAAACGGGCACACATAGCATAACACACGTGCTACGACTAGTACAACAAATCATAATATCATGGCCAGGTCCTGGCATAATGCAACATATCACCACGTACCATAACATACTGTTCTATGGCATTGGACATTATAATATAGCAGAACATGCCATACCATACCATAACATAACACATCGTACCACGAATAACGGAGCGTAACATAGTATGGTATATAAAAAGCATACACTACAATCAAATAATCATACATGCCCTCTGGGCGCAGATGGTCTAACGGTGCTTGTCTTCCCACTTCCAAAACCCTCTTCCCTTCGGGGAGGGGCACCATCCCCCTCCCCTCCTTGAGGTTGTTTGTTGGGGGGGCGCGCGAGAGGTCAGGCCGCACAAGATGACCCCAAGTGGCTCCAAGAGGGCATCCGACGCTCCAAGATGGCCTCACAGATGGCTTAAGATAGCCGAAGATGGCTCAGGCTGGCTTCCACCATGCTCGAAGGAGCCCCAAAGACCGCTGCAAGACAGTTCCAAATGTTCTCGGAGATCCCTAAGGTCCCCCCCAAGAGGCCCAAGGAGGAGGGGGAGGAGGAGACTCAGGAGGAGGAGAAGGAGGAGAAGGAGGAGGAGGAAGAGGAGAGGGAGGAGGAGGAGGAGGATACGATACGATACGATCCCCTACGACTCGCCCGTGGGATGGCGAGCAACACGAAACAACACCACAGAGTGGAGAGGCTCGACCACGCTGGCATTCAGCTCCCACAAGAGCAGACCTGCAAACTCTCGGAGACGCTGTGGGCCTCTCGAGCCTTCTGGGTCAAATTTCTGAGTTCAGCACAGATGTGATCCCAACTAACGACGCTGCGCCAGGCAGATCTGGTGTAGGTAGACGGAGACCGAGAGCTCGGGGAATCCCACACAAGCCAACTTTCGGACACCCAGCCAGAATCTTGGGCCGTCGTCAAAACTGCGGGCCAGTCACTTTGGTGACGCTGGAGATGGGTCCACCAGCTGAGACACGCTACATCATGAATTCTACTCCACTGGTCCTTGGCACGTCCCTGACCTGACAGGCTCTTCTCGTATTGTACACTCCAGGGGCCTCTTCGAGGCGCTTGCGGATCCTACTCATCAAACGTATTGTTCTAACCTGAAGGGCATCCTCTCTCTTGGCAGCCTTGTTGCTGGGGGCCCACAGCGCGTTCGAGGATTGTAGGATTGCACCTACTATGGAGTACAGTTTCTTGACCCTGACGTTTTTGTAGGAATCACGGTGTTCGTCAGGAATTTGGCATTGAGGTAAAATACTTTTCTGATGGTCGGCTGTTTTCGTAATGCTTTTTGTCGGCACTCCTGTTACAGCAAATGTTTGGCCCCAGGACTCGGGGAGACGGAACTGTCTTCCACGCGTGGATGTCTGAGTCTCTGAAGTCCGCCTCTGGATACCAAGTGCTCGACGATCTGATGATCTCCCGATGTGGCTCTTTAAGCACCAGGACGAGGAGGAGCAGGAGAAGGAGAAGGACAGGGGAAGGAGGGAGGAGGGGGGGAGAAGGGAGAGGAAGCGAGAGGAGGATGAGGAGGAGGGACACGGGAGGGAAGGGGAGCAGGGGGGGGCGGACTGGACAAGGGAAGAGAAGACACATTTTCGATTTGGTAAACCGAAACAAAAAAAGGAGCCCCGAAAAGGGGTGGTGACCACACCGTGTGGTGAGTCTGTGGGGATTCGGGGTCACCGCACGGTTTTGGGACTTGGGCCGTTCTCCGAGGATGTCTCGGGCGACTGGAGCCTCCAAGGTCCCAAAACCGTGCGCTGACGGACCGTGCAGTGAAGTCGTGGGGGATTTCGAGGTCACCGCACGGTCTGTCACCGCACCGTTTCGGGACTCCAAACAAAAGGTACCGATACCGCTACTCCCCAGAACTCTCCCAGGGTGCTTTCTGCCCAGAATTTAAAAGCGAATCCAGCGGTGGCGACGAGGGCCTCCCAGGAGTCCGAGGCCCAAAAAGGGGATACAACGAAAGGGCAGCGGCATGGGTGCCTTTTACTTCCTCCGATCGCTTCGAGAAATTGCAGAGAGAAGCAGGGAAGGGCGAGCCCAAACGCAGGACGGCATGACGCGGCGAACCCCCGCACTAAGACGGAGCCAGGGCGAGGATTACATCGGGCGATGATAAATGGTGATGAATGGAGCATCTCTCAGATCCGGCGGTTCTGGAGAATGTCTCGGGCGCCGCGGCCTTCTCACAGCGTTCCGGAACGCTCTGAGAGCGCTGCGGAACGCTCTGGAACGGAGTAATCCTCGTCCCAGCCCCGCCCGAAAATGGTAGAGAGGAGGACAGAAGGGAGAGCCCAAGGGAAGGACGGCAGGCCGCGGCGACCCCCCGCCACCGCTCCCCCTCCTCCGTCGCTATCGCTGTCGGCTTGTCGCTGGACGGCTGCGAGCCGCGCCGCCTGGGGCGCCGGCATCGGGTGCCAGTGGGGGGGGAGGGAGGGGGTGGAGGAGCAAGAGAACAGAAGGAGGAGGAGGAGGAGAAAATTTCAAAAGGCGGGAGGACTTTTGAGTCTTCCCAAAAGGGGGAGTGGGGGGGGAGGGCAGGAAGAGGAGCAGCAGGAGGAGGAGAGGGGAGGAGGAGGGGGTGGAGAAGGAGGAGGAGGATGTTGCAGGCCCATAAGGCAGAACAAAACCGCGGCGCTCAACGAAGCGCGGGCCAAACGTGCCCTGGCCAACGGCCAACGTGGCCAACGGCCAACACCGAAGGCACACGTGGAAAAAGGGGGCTCACGGACACAAGCTGGGACCTGACCTCCGGCGTCCTTTCCCTGACTAACTTCCAATAGCGCCAGCAACGCTGTGCCTTAGGGAGGAAAACAAGACAAGAAAACAAACCAAGGACCACCCTACACCCCGCGCCAAACTGGTGCATGGGGGTTTGGAATCGGCGCCCAACGGACAATACACGGAGCGTTGCCCAGCGCAGAATCGGGCTCGCGGAAGGGTCGTTCTTGGCGTGCCCAGTCCCTCCCGTTCCTCCACCTCCAATGGGGCACTTCCAGCAGTGGATGAAAGATTGTAGACTTATAACATCGGGAAAGCTGGAGGGAGGCTTGTTGTCACATCGTTGACGCGATTTGGGTTTACACTGGTCCACCTCCTTCTCCTCCTCCTCCTCCTCCTCCTCCTCCTCCTCCTCCTCCTCCTCCTCCTCCTCCTCCCCCCCCATCCCTTGTTTGTCGGCAACTCGGGACGAAAAACTATGTCATGGTGCGATTGGCTCAAGATGCGCTCGAGGAGTTCCAGCCTCATCTGGCGGCCCTCGTTCCTGGAGCTTGGGAAACCTTGGAAATCTTGGAACGTATCGCTGTCATGACTTCTCGCTCCTCTGGTTCTCGACTCCCGTCCTCCTGGGGGCCTATCATACGGGGAAAGATGGCGACCCCAATGCCCACCTTGGTTGTGTTTTCGACTGGACAAAAGAATTTGGGCCCAGCCCAAGGATATTCGATGGCGGGGGCGTCTATCCTAGGTGGGGGTGCGTCCCGATGGCCCATTTTGAAGGGGGGGTACTCCAGTTCCCATTTCAGTTCCTGGACGCCCTGGTTTCTCGTGGGGAAGTTGTGGATCAAGGGCGGGAACTCGCCCGTGAACTGAGGGCAAGGGCTTGCGTCTGTCGGGGATCTACTGACATGAAATCCAGACCCGGGAGAACAGTCCTCCAAGATCCTGCAGGATCCTCTGCGCCCAAGCCCGGGTCGGTGCGCCACTGGCCCTGCAGGATCCTGCACGATCCAGCGCTCTGACTCCTCCTCCTCCTCCTCCTCCTCCTCCTCCTCCTCCTCCTCCTCCTCCTCCTCCTCCTCCTCCTCCTCCTCCTCCCTCCTCCTCATCCTCCCCTCCTCCCCTGCTCCTCCTCCTCCTCCTCCTCCTCCTCCTCCTCCTCCTCCTCCTCCTCCCCTCCTCCTCCTCCTCCAACCTCCTCCTCCTTCCCGAAGCTCCCGAATCCGTGTCGGCCGGAGGGCTCCGTGCGCCACCGGGCGCACGCGCCTGCGGGCTGGGCGCACCCGGCGCGGCGCCCGCTGGCCGACGGCGGCCTCCCTCGCGCCCCTCGCCCGCCTGCGGATGGGGGGGCCCACGGAGGGCCTCCGAGAGGGCCGCACAGGGACACTCATCCGTACTGGGCGTCCTCCTTGGAGGCGCGCGTCCGACCCGATCAGCCAGTGCAGCCATCTGGTGGTGCATCATTTCCCGAGCGGTGCGGCCAGGAGGCGCCCGCCACGGAGCTTCTGCTGCAAGCTTTCTCGGCGCGTGCGTCGCCCCTGGGGTGCAGAGGCGTATGTAGCATCAGAATGTTGTGGAGACGCCGACCGAATAGGGAGGGAAAGAAAATGCTGGGCCGCCTCCATCGGAGCAATCGTTTTGTCTCCCAGGCAGAGGTTCCGCCCCACCGCCTGGGGCCAGCGACGACAGGAGGCGGCCCAGCCTTCCCCAACCAATCAAACCAAACCTCGAGATCTGCTTCTCACTGCCAAAAAGACCTTGGTCCGACAACACCCTCCCCTCCGTCTCTTCCGCCTCCTCCTCCTCCTCCCTCCTTCTCCTCTTCCTCCTCCTCCTCCTTCTCCTACTTCTCCTCCAACTCCTCCTCCTCCTCCTCCTCCTCCTCCTCCTCCTCCCTCCTCCTCCTCCTCCTCCTCCTCCCTCCTCCTCCTCCTCCTCTCCCCCTCCTCCTCCTCCTCCTCTCCTCCTCCTCCTCCTCCTCCTCCTCCTCCTCCTCCTCTCCCCCCTTCCCCTCCTCCTCCTCCCCCGCCTCCCTCCTCATCCCCCTCGTCCTCCTCATCCTCCTTCCCCTCATCCCATTTTTGTCAGGACCCCTAGGACGAGAACGGTGTCATGATACGATTGGCTCAGGATGCGCTCCAAGAACTCTGGAGTATCCAGCGGCCCTCGTTCCTCGTCACCCCGTGCAGAACATCAGACGGAGCACCTCGAAAGCCTTACAGAATCTTGGAACCTGTACTTTGTCATTGCTTCTTGCCCCTCTGAAGCTTGCTCCACCTACTCCCCGCGATAGGGGGGAGCGGCCGGCGAGGGGAAGCGTCGACCTGCAATCGGCGATGCATCGCCGACACCTCGGCGACAGGCCCCCAGCGTCACCGAACGTTCCTGGGCGGGGTGGGCTGTCGGGCCCCCCTCGGCGACTCGGGGCCGATGCCTTCCCTCTCTGAGCTCATCCCCCCCCCAGGAAGGCTGCCCCTGAAATTGCCCCCCCCTCCCCCCCCCTCCCAGGGAAACCTTCAAACACCGATACCGCTTCTCCCCGGATCCCTCTCCGGGTGCTATCTGAGTAGACATGTCCAGAAAAGTGCGAGGCGGATCCGGCGGCGGCAGCGAGGGCCTCTCAGGAGGCCCCCCAAAGGGGGAGAACGGAGGAAGGGTAGTGGTATGGGTACCTTTCCCTCCCCTGCCACCACCTGGCCATCGCTCGGACGTCTATTCCCCGTGTTTTTGTTGGGTTTCGCGCGTGGCTTTTTCGCCAAAGGATCAAGGATGCTCCTCGATGGTCCTCGCCGAAGGAAAAAAATGCACAGGTCCGAGCGATGCCAAGCCACCACTCCTCGCGCGTGGGGCGGGGGCGCGCCTGATCTTCCTCTTCTCGCTCCATCCGCTCCTGCTGGACAGCGGGCGCGGGCGCTCGCATCGGCAGAGGTCGCCCCGTGCCACCCCGACGCCGTGAGCCGCCTTTCACAACGTCGCCACCACTGGCCATCGCTCGGAAGTCAATTCCCTGTGCTTTTTTCGGTTTCGTGCGTGGCTTTTTCGCCAAGTGATCAAGGATGCTCCTCGATCGCCCTCGCCGAGAAAAAAAGCACACGTCCGAGCGATGCCAGGACCAGAGATCTGGACCGCTTCCCCAAGACCGGTTCTTCACTCTGACTCGTTCGAGCCCGTCTTTGGTTACATCATTCGTGATGATGCCCCTGACCAGCCCCGCCCCCCTCCCTCCCGCCCCCCCATTGGGTCACATATCACCACTCGCGCCAGCGCAGTCTGGAAAGTGGCCATTCTTTTCCATTCCCAGGCGGAGCCGGCGCAAATCGTGACGCGAGCGGCCCCCTCCCCTCACCCTACAGGTCACGTCCGTTATCGTCGAGTGGCAAGAGAGATGTACCATTGTTTACTGTCCCTGGCCCGGCGAGGACCCCCAGACGCCGTGATGTCTTCCTGGTGCACCTATGTAAGACGACGCCCTGGATCGGGGCAAAATCGGATCGAGAAAATCGGGGATCTCTGAGATCCAGCGGTACATCGGGCGCCGCGGCCCTGTCAGAGCGTTCCGGAACGCTCCGAATCCCGAGCCCAGGCCTGCCTGACTGTATTGCGGCCGACTTCGGCGCTACCTCCCGTCGTGATGTTTTCCGGACGCGCAGGGGCGGGGGGTACACCTGTGCGACGGGAAGCACTGGTCTTTCGCCAGGTCAGATGACGCAGCGACCTTGCGCGGTGGCTTGCGCGGGTCGCCAGGGCGGCACGATTCGTTGGAAACAGGGGCGCTTACTCGCGACCTTGCGCGGGCAGCTTACACGCCTACGTCGGCGAAAACAACCCTTTGGACGCCCGAAATGGGTACGGAAAGAATGGGTACACTGCCCAACAACAAATGTTGTCCCAAACCAACAGCGGCCGCTTTTGGGCAGGCAGCCTTCTGTCTCGAATGGGCACAGGCCGCGGCGGCGTGGACAGCGAGGCCTGCTCAGAATGAACAAGATCCGCTGTTGGGCATTGTACCCATTTTTCCGTGCCCATTGCGTTCGTGCAGAAACCCGACCTTGCTTCCGTCATCCACCTGGCAGGTCTTTGGACTGCGCACAGCAGCAGCTCCCAGAAGTGGCCCCGGCTGGCCCCAGCGGGCCGCCCCCGGGATGGCCTGGGGCAGTGCCCCACCCCTGGGGGGCGGAACGCCGTGGGGGCCGTTGGCGCCGCCAAAACCGGTGGCTGAGAGATGGGGTCCCGAGGGATGGGGTCCTCGGGACGAGGTGCGTCAAACAATGTAAATCCACCCTTGGATTTCGGTCGGGCATGTCCTCCTACAGGCGGATTTTGGACGAAAAATAATAAAAATAACAAAAAAACATCCCCAGGATATTGTTTGACTATTGTTGAGTATTCCTCCTGTAGAGGGACGGGCCCGACTTAACCCTTGGATCCCTTCGTCCTGCACACGCCGTGGACGCCCGACATGGGCACGGACAAACATGGGCACGCTGCCTCCCCGCTGCGCAGTGCGCATGGCCAACGTCCAGTGCGCTCGGGCAACAATGGGACGCTCACATGCGGGCAAAAATGTACACCGCCGTGGGCACGGACAACAATGGACCGCAGGTGACTCCCCTCCATTTTCGACGAACCCCTTCTACGATTCGCGGCCCAGTGTAGGGAGCGTCACCGAAAGCCCCGTGGTTGTGTCCGCATGCGGTTCCACCCCCCATGTCGGCGCATCCGTCACACGTTCCGTGGCCCCATAGGAGCTCCACCGAAGGCACCAGTGGTAGGGTCCGCATGTACTTCCACCCTCCATATAGGGAGCTCCACCGAGGGCCCCAGTGGCAGGAACCGCACGTGGCTCCACCCCCCCTTTCGGCGCACCCCTCGCTTGTGGTTTCACCCTTCGCCAGGCAAGCTTTATGATTTCTGGTACCTTTCTTTACCCGACGGGGGGTGGGCAGGGGCGTAACAAAAACGCTTGGTGGAGGTGGGCCACGTCGGGGCGGGGGTGCGCTGCGATCGCCATAGTATGCTAATACGCGGGCGAGCACTGGCATGTGGGGGAAGGTCCACGCGCCCCTCCCTACGTACGATCCTTACTGTTACCCGGTGGGGGCTGGCCTGGATATCGACCGTCACGCGCCAAAGGATAACAAAAACAATCTCCTGGTTTTCCCAATCGGTTCTAAATCGCCAGGGGCTGGAGGTGGAGGTCGGGATGCGGCTGGTAGTGAGCAGCTGGCCGGTCCATCACGGCCGCATCGTCGTCGACTCTTGCGGCGTGCCTCCGCCCGCAAAGCCGCGCGCGCGCGGGCACTGAGCGGCGTCCTCTCGAAGGGGTGTCTCCCCAGAGAGCTGGCGGGGGCTCTGGAGACGCGGCCCGGGCTCGGGGAAAGCAGAGGAGGTACGGGCTGCGTGAGCACAGCCTCGGATGCAGCCATCTTGAGCAGGGACCGACCGTCCCGGCATTCCTATAGTCATACCACGACATGTCCTTAGAACCCAAACATGCTCTAAGAACAAATACAATGTTCTTAGAACATAAACCCGATGTGTCAAAACAAGACAGTCCTAGCCAGAAATGCTCTAAGAACATGTCGTGGGAACCACAACAAATGCTTAGAACATTGTTTGGTGGGGCTATAGGCGAGCCGGGATGCTTCGCCACTGCTTGACCATCGCGCTAACCAGAAGGAACGCTGCACGAGGCGCGAAGTGTTCCTGTCTGGCCACGGCGAGCCTCGGCCACGAACAGCCCCCCCCCGGCCTGAACTAGGGGAACAAAAAGTGGCACAAACACAAAAACTCGGAGGTCCGCGCGGATTTCTCGGATCGGCGCTGGGGCCCTCCAGCGGCGCCTCCGGCGTCGCCCCTGGCGCGCTCCGCGCGCCAGGGAGGGGGGTCCAGCGCCGATCCGAGAAATCCGCGCGGACCTCCGAGTTTTTATGTTTATGTCACTTCTTGTTCCCCCTTGAACCGACGGAAGGGGCCCGAAGGCCAGAGCCACTCCTTGGCCACGGGTGGTCCTCGTCTCGGCGCGGAGCGAGGAGGCACCGAGGCCCGCGGGTGCAGCGGGGACGGAGCCGGGAAGCGAGAGGGCTGGGGGTGCGCGCCGTGGCGTGGCGCGCACGCGGGCGGGTGGGGTCCAGGAGACGTCCTGAAGAGATATCGGGGGGCAACGAAGTCTGAGAGCTCATGGTCCCGGCCACGATATCCAAACACACACACACAGACACTGTGTAGCTTCTCGGCCTATTGATACAACGCAGCGAGCTCTAGGGCGGGACACACCTGGATGAATCCCACCAGCACTCTGGGCGAATGTGGTATCACGAGTTGCGCCTTCCCTCTCGGGGGAGGGGTTCATTAGCGTGCCTTCTCAACATGCACGCTCTCCCACACCCGCCGACTGGCGACGAGCCCGTGCCAATGAGGCCCGCCCCGCCATCCCTTGCAAAACGACAATGCAAATGGCACCTTTCACCAAAATCTGGATCCTGCGCGGGCGCCCCGTGATCACTTTGCAGTATTTTTGGACAGGGGCATCGGGACAGCCCTCATGTTGTCCACGCTGCGCAGGCCTGCGACGCTTGTCAGAACACAATGTAACATACACGTGGCGGCAACATCTGGACCGTGCGCGAGCTGCCCGTGAGCAATTGTCATTGGTTGTTGACAGGGGCGGCGGAGGTGCCTCCACCATCCCTGTCAACACACGGTGCAAACACACACACACACACACACAACACACAACACACAACACACACAACACACAACACACACACACACACACGCGCTGTGAGGCAAAAGCTGGCTCATGCGCGGGCCCCCTGCGATCATTCTGCATTGGTGTTTGACAGAGGGGGCGGCGGGGGGGTGCTCTCAGATTGGCTGCTCGGTGCCTCCGACGGGAATCGTGAACTCAGTGAGATCAAGGTACGGGCTCGGATGCTGACAAAATGTGCGGAGGGTGGATGTGAGTGAGCGGCACTGCTCGCGGCTTAGGGTAGCTCGATCATTGGTCCTTCTTACTGCGCACCCCCTCACCCACCAGACCGAAGACAAGCCCGGGACCATGCCGACATCCCCACGCCATCCCGGTCAACACATATACACAGAGCGCACTTTTTGAACCAAGAGCTGGATCACGCCCGGACGCCCCGCGATCACGTTGCACTGGCTGTTGACAGGGACGGCGGGAGCGCCAGCAGATTGCCCGCTGTGCAATGGCCCCCCCCCCCCATGCCTTGAACAAAATCAGCCTGGCGAAAGGGCCCACCCACATGCGGTTATGAGTCCCGTCGTTGGGAGTATCGTCTTCGAAAGATCTCCTTATGGAATCACGCAGCGCGCAAATGGTGTGCCGTAACCTGGTGGGGACACCATGCGGGCGCTGCCACTGGGGCCTTCGAGCACCGTGGGGAGAATGAAATGAAGGAGAGGGGGCAGCAACAAGGGCAACTGGGGCCTTCGGTGGATCTCCCTATGGGGCCACGAACCGTGCGAGGAGTGTGCCGAAATGGCGGGTGGGACCGCATGCGGGCGCTGCCCCTGGAGCCTTGGGTGGAGCTCCCTATGGCATAGCCCGATCGGGCCACGGAACGTGTGAGGGGTGCACCGACATGAAAAGTGGAGCTGCATGCGGGCGCTGCCACTGGGGCCTTCGGTGGAGCTCCCCACGGGGCCACGAGACGTGTGAGGGGTGCACCGAAATGGGGGTGAAACTGCATGCGAGCGCTTCCACTGGGGCCTTCGGTGGAGCTCCCCGTGGGGCCACGAAACATGTGAAGGGTGTGCCGAAATGGAGGGCGGAACTGCTTGCGGGCGCTGCCACTGGGGCCATCGATGGAGCTCCCTATGGGGCCGCCATGTGCGAGAGGGGTGTGCCGAAATGGAGGGTGGAACTGCATGTGGGCGCTGCCACTGGGGCCATCGGTGGATCTCCCTATGAAGCCACTAGTCTTATGAGGGGTGTGCCGAATTGGCGGTGGAACTGCATACGGCTGTATGCGGGCGCTGCCTCTGCGGCCGGCCTTCGGTGGAGCTCCCCATGGGCCCACGAAGAATGTGAAGGGGGTTCAAAAATGGATGGTGAAACTGCTTGCGGGCGCTGCCACTGGGGCCTTCGGTGGACCTCCCTATGGGGCCACGAACCGTGTGATTGGTGCAACGAAAATGGCGGGTGGAACCGCATGCGGGCGCTGCCACTGGGGCCTTCGGTGGATCTCCATGTGGGGCCACGGAACGTGTGAGGGGTGCGCTGAATGGAGGCTGGAACTGCTTGCGGGCGCTGCCAGTGTGGCCTTCGGTGGAGCTCCCTATGGGGCCGCGAAGCGACGCCCGAGGGGTGTGCCGAAATGGACGGTGGAACTGCATGCGGGCGTTGCCCCTGGAGCCTTCGGTGGGTCTCCTGATGGGGCCGCGGAACGTGAGAGAGGTGTGCCGAAATGGAAGGCGGAATCGCATGCGGGCGCTGGAGCCTTCGGTGGAACTCCATATGGGGCCACGAAACGTGTGAGGGATGTACGGAACTGAGTGTGAGCTGCATGCGGGCGCTACCAGTGGAGCCTTTCGGTGGAGCTCCCTATCGGGCCGCGAAGCGTGTGAAGGGTGTGCCGAAATGGAGGGTGGAACTGCTTGCGGGCGCTGCCACTGGGGCTTTCGGTGGGGCCCCCTTACGAGGCCAAGAGACGAGTGAGGGATGCACCGAAATTGGGGTGGAACTACATGCGGGCGCTGCCACTGGGGCCTGCGGTGAAGCTCCCTATGGGGCCGCGAGACGTGTAAGGGGTGCAGGGGATGGGAGGAAGGAGGAGGGAGGAGGAGGAAGGGGAGGAGCAGAAGAAGAGAGGAGAGGAGAGGAGAGGAGAGGAGAGGAGAGGAGAGGAGAGGAGAGGAGAGGAGAGGAGAGGGAGGAGAACCCGGGCACTGTCTTTTTTCAAACGGGGACCCAACATTATACCAGAGAAAACCCAATCAGTGGATGGCTTTCACCATGAATGATATGGACGCTTAGATCGATGTAATGATCGATAGTGAGATCGAAAGTGGGATTGAGGACGATCGTGAGAGCGATAATGAAATCGATTCAGTGAGATCGAGAGTGAGATCGACCGTGAGATCGCTCGTGCGATCTATTGTTAGATCGATGGTGAGATCGATAATCGGATCGATTGTGAAATCGATTGTGAGATCGATAAAGAGTTGGGTCATAAGATCGATAGTGAGACCGATCAATAAGAAGATCGACCAATTACCTGAGAACCTGGAAACCTGAGAACCCCGCCGCCCAACGAAATCGGCCCGGAACCCGAAACCGGGAATCCAGGAACCTGGAACCAGGAACCCGGGAACCCGGCGGCCCACCGAAATCGGCCGCCCACCTTCGCCAAATCCTCGAAGATCCGCTAGGACCCCTTCAGTGCTAGCACGGATTGGGGAACCACAGGATGGAACATGATACAAAATGCACTTTGCACCAACATCTGGATCATGCGCGGACGCCCCGCGATCACTTCGCAAAAGTTTTTGACAAGGACGGCGGCGGGCCAACGTATTGCCTGCCCCGTGCAGGCCCACACTCCGCTTCAACACAAAAGACACAGTTCACGCTGCCAGGGGCGGTGTGGGCGGGGCAGCGCGCTGCCCGCTGCGTTCAGGCCTCCGAAACAAGTGCAGCATGATTTCGGGCGCACGCCCAGACACGATGCACGCGGCTCGCAAACCCGCCAAGCCTTTGCCGTTGGCTTTTCACAGGGGCGGCGGGGCGGACGACCTATTGCACGATGTGGCGCACCTGGTGCACGTGGCGCACCAGGCACGTGCGGCGCGCCTCGCGGACAGCCACTATCCGCCGATTGGAGTAGGGGCGCGTTCATTGCCTGAGTCCAAATCACATCATATTCCACGTCCGCCTTCTCCTACTTCTCCTCCTCACTCTCCTCAACATCCTCCTCCTCCTCCTCCTCAGCATCATCATCATCATCATCATCATACTCATCATCGTTACCACCACCATCACTACCACCACCCATCATAATCCTCCTCCTCCGCCTCCTCCTCCTCATCATCATAACCACCACCACCATCACCACCACCATCAACGACATCACCATCGTCATCATAGCAATCATCATCACAATCAGCATCATCATCAGCATCAGCATCATCGTCATCATCATCTTCCACCTCAGCATCATCAGCATCATCGTCATCATCAGCATCATCATATTCATCAGCATCATCATACGCATAATCATCATCAACACCATCATCATACTCGTCGTCTTCGCCAACGCTGCCGTCGTCATCATCACCACCATCACCACCATCATCCTCACCATCATCATCACCAGCAGCTTGATCAGCACCATCACCATCATCATCAACAGCAGCATATAAACATTACACCTGAGAAAACCCCAATCAGTGGATGATTTGAAGATTGATACTGTAGATCTTGAGCTCGATTGTGAGATCGATATTGAAATCGATAGTGGAATCGATAGTGAGGACGATTGTAAGGTCGATCGTGAGACCGAGAGTGAAACTGATTCAATGAGATCGATAGTGATATCGATCGCGAGATCGCTCATACGATCTCTAGTAAGATCGCTTGTGAGATTGATAATGAGATCGACTGTGGGATCGATGGTGAGATCGATCGAGAAATCGGTAATGAGATCGATAATGAGACCGATCGATAAGAAGATCGACCAAGAACCCGGGGACCCGGGAACCTCGCCGCCCTCCGAAATCGGCCCAGAACCCGGAACTGGGAACCCGGGAATCCGAAACCGGCAACCCGGGAACCCAGCCTGACACCAAAATCGGCGGGGAACTTTTGCCAAATCCTGCAACATCCGGTAGGACCCCTTCAGTGAAAGCACTGATTAGGGAATTAGCAGCAGCACCAGCGCCAGCGCCAGCACCAGCACCATCACCATCAGCAACATCAGGACCAGCATCATCAGCATCATAATTAGCATAAACATCGTCATCATCATCATCATCATCATCATCATCATCATCATCATCATCATCATCATCACCATCATCCTCATCATCACCATCATCATCATCATCATTAATCCCCATCACCATGAGCATGACCATGGCCATGACTATGACAATGACCATGACCATCATCATCATAATCATCGTCATCATTATCAGCATCATCATCAGCATCAACATCACCCGCATCATCATCACCAGTATCATCATCATCATCATCATCATCATCATCATCATCATCATCATCATCATCATCATCATCGTCATTGTCATCGTCATCATCGTCATCAACATCGCCATCATCAACACCATCAGCATCACAATCAGGAACATAATCAACATCATCATGATCATCTCGGTCGCGCTCTCGATCCTCCATGTCCACGGTAACATTGCACCTCCGATGACGACGACGTCCGACGTCCCACAGCGACGACGACGGGAATGACGAGCCTCCTGCGGGGAACTCCGCCGACCCTGTCGGCGTGTGTGAGAGACTTTCCCTTTTGAGTCGTCGTCGACGCCGCTCCCCTCTCTTGACGCTTTTCCCTTTGAATCGTCGACATCGTCGTCGTCGTCGCCGTCGCCACTCCTTCCCTGTCCCTGTCCGTGGGCTCTCCTCTTCGGGGAAGGTGGAGGGGGTTCCGGGGGTTGTGACCCCCCTCCCCCCCCTGGGAGGGGGGCACCCCTCCCGTGGAGAAGCACTCCCCTTCGAGGCGTTGCCTCCCAGACGCCTCGGGCTCCCCCATTCAGTGTCGGCGGTGTCAGCCATAGGGCCTTAACAGTACAAGCCACACACGCACACCACGACAACGAAGGCCAGAGTTTCGACGACGACGAGGGCGAGGACGACGACGAGGACGAAGACGAGCCACCACCACGACAATGACGACAACGACGACGACGACGACGACGACGACGACGACGACGACGACGACGACGACGACGACGACGACGACGATGATGATGATGATGGTGATGATGATGATGATGATGATGATGATGATGATGATGATGATGATGATGATGATGATGATGATGATGATGATGATGACGGGTACCCCCCCATCGCGCGGAGTCACTTGGCGAGGTGAGCCTGTCGGGGGGGGGGGCATGGCGCTGGGAAGAGGGGGGAAAACAAGGAGGGGGGAGGAGGAAGGGAGGTAAGGAGAAGGAGGGAGGGAGCAGGAGGGAGGGAGCAGGAGGAGGAGAAAGGGAGGAGGGAAGTAGGAGGGAGCAAGAGGGAGCAGGAGGGAAGCGGGAGAAAGGGAGGGTAGGGAGCAGGAGGGAGCAGGAGGGAGCAGGAGGGAGCAGGGGACAGGAAGGACAAGGGGGAACGGACGAAAGGGAGGAACGGAGGAAGGGAGCAGGAGGGAGCAGGCGAAAGGGAGGAAAAGGGGGGGAGAGGGAACTTTTTAGGATTTACGTAGTGGTACCCCATGCCGTATCACACCACCTGGGGGGGAGGGTGGAACAAAAAAGAGGAAACAGCTCGATGCCCGAGGCTGGAAGGGGGCAGGGAAGAGGGAGGAAGGGAGAGAGGAAGGGGGAAGGGGGGGGGCAAGGGGGGGAAAAAAAGTGAGAACGCGGGAACAACTCGGCCAGGCGAGCGTCGGCCAAGCTGAACTCGGCCAGGCGACCGGGTTCGGATGGCCGGATTCAGCTGGCCGAGGTCAGCCTGGCCAGGTTCGTCCTGGCCGAGCTTTGCTGCTGCTGGGTGAAGGGGGAACGGAGCAGAGAGAAGGGGGCGGCGGGGCGTTCGGGGCGGAGGCGGGCGGTGCAGGGAGGGGCGGAGCAGGGGGAGGGGAGGGGGAGGGGGAGGGGGAGGAGGACGAGGAGGAGGAGGACGAGGAGGAGGAGGACGCGGCGGCGGCGGCGGAACGGTGTCGGGCCGAACGCCGATAAAACTCGACTCATATCAGACCGTTGCGACCTACCGTGCGTGCCTCATTCGAGGACGTGTCGAGACGGCCCCCCCTTGGTCGGAGCCCCGATTTGTCACCGCCCAACCGAAGTTACACAGTGAGCGGCGTAAAACATTGATTTTGAAACACTAGTGTCCGAGAGAGGAAACGGCACCCAGGCACCCCCAGGACCGAGAGCCCACAGGGCCAGTCAGAAAAAGTCAAAAACGCGACGCCATCTGAACAAGTTCTTTAAAGCTGCACGCTCTCGCAGGAGGAGGAGGAGGAGGAGGAGGAGGAGGAGGAGGAGGAGGAGGAGGAGGAGGAGGAGGAGGAGGAGGAGGAGGAGGAGGAGGAGGAGGAGGAGGAGGAGGAGGAGAGGGGGCGACGGCAGCGACAGCGGCAGGCCCCACATCATCCTCCCCGGGCCTCCGTCCCTCGAGTTCCACCGCGCATCGTAGGCCCTCAGAACCCTGACGGTCCACTGCGATCCCCCTGCCTTCAGAGCGACGCTGGCCCACTGCATGGGCCCGATCCGCAAGGGCCCCCCCGATCTTCGGAACGAAAAAAGCCCGCAGCAGGTCGCTCACCCAGACCAGGTACCCAAGCACTCTGTGAGCTCGTGGACTGCGCAAGTCGTGTCGTCAGCCCAACCGAAGACGATAAATCCGCCGAGCCTTCACTCTGAGCCAGGGAGGCCATCCACTGCACTTGCGTCCTACGTCGAGCTTGGGAGGCTGTCCCCAAGGCTGACAAATATCCTCCTCCCGCCCCCCCTTCCGAGTGCCAGGGGCGCCATCCCCTGGTCTTCCGCTCTAGCGCCAGAACGTGACGACGCTGAGCTTGGGAGGCGATCCCCAGGACTTGTGCCCGCATCGCTCACCCTTCGAACTCGTCCAGGGCCAGCTGGAGGATTCGCTCCGCGTTGGAGCACAGTGCGAGGCCTGGCTTAAACTCTCCCCTCACCGCTGCGTGATGCATGCGATGAAACGCTTGTCAACTGCAGGTCCGCGAATGCGAAGGTGACCTTCGCCTGGCCCGCTGAGCAGGCTGAACTCCACGAGGTTGGTGACGGCTTCCAACTTGCTCTGCTGCTCTGCCCACTTATTCTGGTTCGCCGCGCCGGTCGCCATTCCCGGCTCGCCGATCCCCTTGCAATCCGCGCGGAAAACTTGGACGCAAGCGGGGCCCATGCCTAGCTCTGGGGGTGGTTTCGACGGATCTGTCTCGCGCGCCTCCCTCATGGTGGCCTCTTGCTTCGCGCGCGCGCCCCCCCTGCCTGCAGGCCGCCGACCACGCGCGGCGATTCCTCGTCGATCGGGCACATCTGGAACTCGACCGCGCTCAGAGCCCGCATCTGGTAGTAGTTCGCCAGCACCCCCCCGCATCATGATGGGGAACCGTTTCGCCATCAGTCGCGCATCCATGGGCGGCAGCTCGCCGATCACTCCTGGGCGTTGCCCGTAGGCCATGCCCAACTCCGCCGCCGCGTGGCCGTTCTGCCCCCCGCCCTGGCCACCTCGCTGCCGCGGAGGGCGGGCGCCGCGAGGCTCGGCGCCGCGCCTGCCGCGGCGGCGGCGGCCGCCGCGCTCGCGGAAAGCGGCGTCCGACCCAGAACGGCCGCGACCCCGTGGCCCCGAACCTCCTCTCACCTCGGAGCGGGACCTTGCGTTCTGCAGCATGTCTTCGGAGAGGCGGAACATCGGCGCGCGACCGAACAGTCGAGTAAAGAGGGGCTCGCGGCGCGCGCGATCCCCGCAAGCGTCGCGGGAGCTCGGGCAACGCGCCAAAAGGATGCTCGACCGAAAGACAGAACTCTCGACAACCCCCACCGAAGACCGAGCCCTTCGTGAGAAACACAAGTGGGCACTCGAGGGACTCGGGCTGAGTGATGGGGCGTTGAAGAAAGGGAAAGCTGAAACAAAACATCTTCCAATGAGAGCGGCCCGAACGAGGCGCCCCTGAGCGATCCTTCGGGCCCTGAACGTCCGGGCACAGAAGATGCGCTGGCTGGCGACCGTCGCCGCGTGCGCCGCCGATCTGCACGCGCGCCCGCCCTCCATCGAGAACCTCTGGCGCGCCAAAAAAGCCCTGCGCGTCCGGAGCGACCCGCCGCGTTCAACTCCATCGGGGCCCCGAAGGTCGCACTGCCAAGTCGGCTCGGGCGGCGGAGCGACCTCAGGCGCCTCGGAAACTGGAACGGCAAGCCCGTGAAGACCAGGAGTAGGAGCGATAGCCGCTGTCCGCGCAGCTGCTCTCAGAATACCAGGACCCAAAGCAACGGGCCTGCCCCTGATGTCGTGATCCAGGAAAAGCGCACGGATATTCAAACACCTCCACGGCCCCAAGGGTGGGTCCGGAACTTTGAGCAGCCCCTCAGGACCTCGGCCTCCGAGCGCTCCAGAAGCCTCAGGACGCCCAGGGAAAACCTGCGGGCGCGCGGGTTGACTTTTGGGCCCAGGGTACCATTCTCCTGAATCGCGGGGGCCACCTCGAGCGGGAGCTGGCCGAAGACGGCCGCGATCTCTTGGGGGTGGTTCGAAGGGCGCGCGATCCATCTCCGATAGGCGCGCAATCGACGGACGCGAAGTTCGACCCCAGCGGGGGCGACGCCCAGTCGACGCTGGACGACCTCGTCCGTGAGTGCCTCATACTTAACTACCTCCTGTCCGTCGCCGTCACAGATGGGCTCGCCGTCGCCGTCGACCACCGCGAAGTCGCGATCTAGCCTGGACTCATGCGTCTCGGGCAGGATGAGGGTGGCAAGGCCAGACAGGAGGGCGCCTTGCACGACGGCGCCGAATACTGCACGAGTGAACCTCCGCACGCGGTTACGCGCTCAGAACCTCCCCGTCGAATAGTACTCCCTCCTGCATGATAAGATTTTTATCCTCAATTATCCTTGTATTCCTCCGTTCATGGCCGTCTGTATGCCGAGCGCGATGTTATCGAACTGGGCCTGTCCCTCCACCTTCACCTGCCCCCCGAATATCGCCCCCGCGCGTGCGTGGGCCCCTCGACCGACAAATGACTGAGAAATGCTGCTGTTCCCTCGGTTGTGTGCGTGCCCGCTCTCAGACTGAACGGCAGTCAAGCCTCCGCGGGCCGCGCGCAGGGTGAACTGCGCGTTCTCTGCCGACGTGACCACATGAGACTTGCTCGCGTCCTTAGCATATCTACGGCACGACAGATCAACTGGGCGCTGTGCGAACGGAGCCCAAGCTGCACGCAGGGCCTCGCTCGGCCGCAGTATCTGCGACCAGTCCGAGGGAGCCTCGCAAGGGACAGCAGGTAGGTCAAGCCATTCTGAATAGGTCCGAGGCCGAGGAGGGGGAACTTCGTGCCAGACACGCGCACGCATATAACCTAGCCACCCCTGGACTGGCCGTCGAAATGTTCTCGAAACAGGAAATAACGCTGCTGCAGGACTGCCCCCCGCGAAGGCACCACGCCCATTGTGCGTGGCAAGCTCTCCGTCCGAGCCAGCGATCGTGAGCGCGCCGCGCTCGTGCCGATGATGAAAATAGGCCTGATCAGGCCCAGCGATCGAATCTTCCACCGCGCGCCTGGGGTCAGGAAGCCGAGCAACTGAACGCGTTAGACATGTCCTCCCTGGACGTCACTGACAATTTCCCAAGACTCCGCAGCCTGCCCAAGAGTGCCTCTTGGCACAACATGGCCCCCATCCCTGTTGCGCCCGCCGTGGTAACCCGCGCGCCCTATCAGGAACCTGGTCAGGGGGGCCCTTGCAGAGCTGTGCCTTAAACCAGGCGGCTTCCACCCTGCATGGCCCGTGGGTGCACCGAAGAGCTCCAAACACTTGCTTGCAGCTGTTGCTCGCGAGTGGTGCCGCGCGGGCGGTGTCTTTTCAACCCCCCTGATGTGGTGGAAGACCTTCTGGAGCCCCTGGAGCGTGGCCTTGTTGTCGAAGGCCTCTGGAGCCGCGCCGAGCCCTCCCCGATCTCCCGCGAGCCGATGCCGAGGAAGGCACGCTGGGGTCGGTTGGGGTCCGTCGCCGTCCCCATCGCCATTCTCCCGTCGCCGCGGTCGTCGACGGGTTCCGTCGAATCGTCGCTGCGCGCGAGGGGGCCAGCAAGAGGACATCAGAGGGTGCATTATGTAGGGGAGACGCCTTCCGACGGGGCGCCTTAGCTAACAACTCCAAGACCCGCTCGAGGTCCTCGCGCCCTGG